TTACAGCAATGTCATAAAACTGTTCCTCTGCTGTAGCAAGGTAACAAGGCACAGGCAGATCGCCAGGTCTGGCAACCTAAGACACTACCCAGGAGAGTAAAGGAGGAGGCATAACCTAAGGAGCCATGGTTGGTGGGTGACAGAGCTAAAGCCATTGCTCAGGTGTCCCACCTCAGAGCAGATGCTCTTCCCAGTCCTACATGAACTAGCACAAGGCCTGCTCCCGTAGGAGAGACAAGGCACTGAGCCAGGCTGAGTCCAGGGAGAAGCATGGGAGAAGCTGGAATGTTACTACTAACTCACTCAGTTATTTCGGGCAAGTTATTTCATCTTCCCCTCTCTGACTGTCCCAGGGGGCTATATAAATAAGGAACTGGAAGAGATTTGCTTCAAGGTCTCCTCATTATAAAATTTTAAAGAAATTTATACAAAGCAGAATAAAGAAAAAATAACCCCTTAAAATTTCAGAACCAGAAAGGACCTTCGCATGCAAGAGTAACAGAGAAGTGTGATTTAATACAGATGCCCAGTGCCACTGTCAGAAAATCTGGTTCGGGTCTGCAGGAGAATCCAGACATCTGTTGCTTTTAACTCATACCCAAGACAGTCTGATGCAGACAATCTTCATATCATGTGCGAGAAGCCAGCTCTTTAAAGACTTTTACTATGCCCATTCACAAAAGAGAAACTTGAGATACAAGGAGATTTATTAACCTGCCCAACAACACACATCTAGCAAGTGGCAGACTGGCTCCAGAGCTCGTGTTCCCAACTAAGATGCGAAAGCTGAACTTAATATCAGGTAGACAGCCCAGCCAGGAGACAGAATCCAGGTGTGAAGTTAACAGGAAATTTGGAATGCAAAATTTAACATTACATATCAATTTCAATAGCCGAAACAAATTAAGGAAGTAGCCTTTAAAAGTCACACATAGAAAAAAAATCCACTTGATACATTTGGGGCAAAATAATAGTGCAATCATCAAACTTAAATCTTTCTGAAATGGAGACCAGAAGACTATGCATTTGCATACCAATATCAAGAAACTGAGAACAGCTGTTCTAGGCAGTTCCTCAAGTACAGAAATTCACGTGTTAGGGAAAGCTAGTAGCACGTTTGCATTTTCTTATTACATTTCTTTACAGTAAGAAATAAAATTAAAATCCTCCCCTCAAAACCAAGTCAAATTAAATGAAACAGATGTTATGGCAAATAACAGGTCTCATTCCCATAGAGCAAAAACTTCTCCATTCACTCAGATTCTACTGCACTGAGAATAACATTTCCTCCATCTTCTCCCCAACAGTAACCTTCAGTGTTTGCACAATTAAAGGTACAGACTCAGAAGCTGTTTCTGAAGATTGAGGTGGCAGATTTCAAGACTTTTCTGTTAGGAGATTCAATGCTGCAAGGATTTATTTCATCTTGTATCGATCATGGACAGTTAGATCCTAATGGAAAATGGACAAAATGGTAGAATAAGACAGTTTGTCATTTTACTGACAGTTTAATTCCCAAGTGCAGTGTCAGAGGAATTTAGAGGGGAAACAGCAATACCTAAGACTAAAATGAAGTTTTCGAAGAACTTAAACAGGGCCTGATATTATAGCCTAGTGGCTAAAGTCTTCACCATGTAACCACCAGGATCCCATACTGGCTGTGGTTCTTATTCCAGCTGCTCTACTTCCCTTACAGCTTCCTGCTTGTGGCCTGAGAAAGCAGGAAAGGATGCACAAAGCTTTGGAACCCTGTACCTGTGTGGGAAACCCGGAAGGAGCTCCTGGCTTCGGATTTGCTCAGCTCTGCCCATTGCAACCACTTGGGGAGTGAACCAGTGAACAGAAGATGTTTCTCTCTGTCTCTCCTTCTTTTCTCTATTTAAATCTGATTTTCCAATAAAATTAAATAAAATTTTTTAAAAAGTGGATTAAAAGAACTTAAATCGTTCTTGACTATTTTCTTCTCTCTTCTGTTGCTCACTTATTTATATCTTAGCTCAAGATTTTTTTGAAAACTAATATGCTGTTCTTCTGTTCCCCATCAAGTCAGGTCTCACTTCTAGGGAAGCCATACCCAAAATGTCCTTTGGGCATCCCACCTTCATCAATTAGATCTCAAGGATCATCTTCCTTTATTGGAACTTCTGTAAAAAATATATCCTTGGGGCCCAGCATGATAGCCTAGCAGCTAAAGTCCTCACTATGCATGCACCAGGGTACTATATGGGCACTGGTTCTAATCCCAGTAGCCCCGCTTCCCATCCAGCTTTCTGCCTGTGGCCTGGGAAAACAGCTGAGGATGGTCCAAAGGCTTGGGACCCTACACCCACATGGGAGACCAGGAAGAGGCTCTGGGTTCCTGGCTTTGGATTGGCACAGCTCTGGCCATTGTGACCACTTGGGAAATAAATCAACAGATGGAAGATCTTCCTCTCTGTCCCTCCTCCTCTTTGTATATTTGGCTTTGCAATAAAAATAAGTCTAAAAAACATATATATTTGGGTTCAGGCACTGTGGTCTGGTGAATTAGGCTGTGACTTGAAAATCCAACATCCCATTAGGGTACCAGTTTGAGTACTGGCTGTCCCACTTCTAATCTAGTTCCCTGATAACGTATCTGGAAAGGCAGCATTTGGATAAAGCTTCTGGCTTCAAGCTGGATCAGAACTGAGGGGAGCAGCACTTGGAGAGGGAACCAGCTGATAGAGGTATCTCTCTCACCTTTGACTCTCCTTCTCTGCCTTTCAAATACATATTTTTTTAAAGTATAAATTTGAATATACTACATATTTCCTAAATTAAGTAGCTATAATATTTTTGAGTTTCACTCTATGCTTAGGTTTTTTTTTTTTTAATATTCTAACAGTATTTTTCTTATTTTCTTTTATTGGAAAGGCAGATTTACAAAGAGAGACAAACAGAAAAATCTTTCATCCACTGGTTCACTCACCAAATAGCTGCAGCAGCCAAAGCTGAGCAGATCTGGAGCTTCCGAGTCTCCCACGTGGGTGCAGGGTCCCAAGGTTTTGGGCCGTCCTTGACTACTTTCCCAGGCCACAGACAGGGAGGTGGATGGGAAGTGGGGCTGCCAGGATAAGAATGTGCACCCATATGGGTTCCCAGTGTGTTCAAGGTGAGGACTTTAGCCTCCAGGCTACTGCGCCAGGCCTCGAAAGTACTATTCTTGATTTTTTTTTCTCCATCACATATTCATATTGGGAACTACAACTAAGAGATTGCGAATGTGTACCTTATATGAGTCTCTCCAAAATTCTGTGTTCTAAATGTCCAAGACTCTAACATTTCAGATGAAAAATCTTCATACTATTTACAAGAAGTAGTGCTATCTCAAAGCTGAAATATTATGATTCCCAAATCCAGGTTCCTTCAGTAACACAATGAGGCCATACATTAGCTGGCCCTGCAGTTTTCCAACCAAAAATCAACCAACCTGGGAAAGGAAATACTTAGGGAGAAAAATCCTGTGTGCTGACCGTCAACTCTGTCATTGTCCTTATTCCCTAAAACAGTAAACAACTAGTTACAGAGCATTTAGAGTGTATTAAGTTACCTAGAGACAATTCAAAGGAAACTGGAGAAAGAGCATGGGTTACGGGCCAACATCACACCCTTTTGTATCAAGGACCGGAGTATCTGCAGACTCTGATATCTGTGGGGGTCCTGGAATCTCTCCCCTCTGCTGACTCAGAGGCACCATGCTTACCTTTGCTGTGAGGAGCAAAGGGGAAGGCTTCAGTAGAGAAATCCCTGCAGGAAGCATGTGCTCAGGCTGTGGGGCACTCACCCGCACAAAGGCAGGATTCGTATACAAAATGAACATCCACCCGAAACTCTTACACTTCTAGAGGCGATTTACACACCAACCTCCAAAATGTGACCCTGTCTCTGGAGAAAGGTTAAGAGCGTGAAAACCAAATAAAGAAAAATCAACGACTCTTGACAAGGCCAAAGAACTGCATCAGATCCATTTACTAAGCATGGTCCACGCTTTAGGCACTGGGAGGTCTGTCTGAGGGGTGTTCTCAATTAAAAAAAAAATCCTTATCTGTTTATGATGAACAACACTACGCTTAGCACTGCTGTTAAACCAGTCCGGAGACCCACTACGGAAAAACTGGACTATACCACTGCGCAGATGAGCAAATACAGGGGTTGCAGACAGATTTCAAGGTCACAGAGCTAATTAGAAGTATAACCAAGACTAGGACCCAGCTCTCCAGGCAGTTGTTTAATCCAGATGCTGTGCAAAGGGCAAGCACCAAACCTGAAGAAGAACCTTTCTATCTTTTCTGCTTAGGTCTATGCTGCTAGAACTGCAGTCCAAGAAAAAAAAAATGGGCAAAGAAAAGAGCAAGCAGTGCATCTGATGGCAACCAGTGGAGAAACAAGGGGAGAGGGAAGGAAGACAAGAGGTGGGGAATCTTCTCAAAGGCCTCTCGCAGGCCGCCGGCAAAGCCAGTACGTGGCGTTAACAACGCCCGGGAAGTTCAGTAAGCAGAAGGCAAGGCGCACTCAATCCCTGTCAACACGCAGGGAGGGGAGTTTGGGGCGATCCTGACGGTGGAAGAGACTATAGCTCCTTCGACCTTCAGTTTTCCCCGACAGAGAAATGGGCAGCCCAGGGCGGGGAGGGGGGAGCGACGGTCACGATGGAATATGGGAATAACGGAATGAGAGGAATAAACTGTGGCGGCCAGCACTACGGACCAAGAACAGGGGGAAAAAAGCGATGGCCACGACGTAACACGGGAATAACAGAATGAGGAGAATAGACCACGTGGCTGCAGCACCAGGAACCAAGCACTCTCAGGGGAAGGAATCCCTGGAGAGGCGTGGGCGTGGGTGGGTGCCCGTGGTGGTCCGACAAGGGCTTCTGAAGAGGCCGCCAAAGGGGAGGGGGGCAGGGATGGGAAGACGAGATCGCCACCTCAGGGGCTTCCCCCAGGTTCGACTGTCCGCGCCCCCAGCCGGCTTCTCACCTTATCCAACAAGCCGCTGCGGCCACTACTTGTCCCGCCGCTGGGACCACCGCAAGCCCCAGCACCACCTCCGCCACCGCTCCTCCCGCCCTGTGCAGCCGACGCAGCCATCTTGTCTGCCACCGCGTCTCCCTCCCCTCCGACTTGTCCGCAGCCGATTGGCTGAAACGGACGGCGTGACGCGCCGCGCGGGGTCCTTCGGGATTCGTAGTTCAAGGCTCGCGGACGCTAGGTTGTCCGCGTAAGTGATCGCGGGGCTTGCCGGGAATTGTAGTTAGAAGCTCTAGCCACCGGTTGCCACCCAGACGGGCAGCCGCCGCTTCGCTGTTACCAAGCAGTAGGGCAGCTAGTGGCCGGCGCCACCGTGGAGCGGCTCCGAGATCCCTGCGGGGCTCGCAGGCGCGCATCCCGCCTCCCCGGGACGTCGCCTCCGCGGACAGCTCGGAGGCGGAAGCGACGCCGGAGGCAGGTGTGCCTGGAAACTTAATTTATGTGACTTTAAGTCGGCGCCCCCTCAGATTGTAGGTCCTAACCGGGTAGGGAGGAGTCCTTCATCTTCTGTGGGTCGCTGTCAAACGACAGACTCATAGCTGTGAGAACTCAGGTTTACTCTTGCCTGCTACATGCCAAGGTCCTGTGTGCATTTACAGCTATTTTTTCCTTTAGTCTCAGGTGTGGAACCCGCAAGGAACTGCCCCGAGGGCCAGATCGCAGGCGGTGTTGAGCCAGGTCTGTGGGATTGGGGGTGTGTGTTTGTTTTTTGCTTATTAACATCAAAAGCCATGGTATTTACCCTCGTGCATTCCACTGTGACCGCTTTAGGATGTCATAGTATTCTGTATTTTAACGAATCAGTAGTTCATCTTGTTAAGGTTTGAGGCCGTTAGTTTGCACGTGAAAATAATAATCACTAAATAGTGGATAAGGTTTCTTTACCCCCCATGAAAGCTATCTCTGGTCACTCCAGCCAGGGGCTTCTGAAGCGTTGTGGTGATATCTGGTAACGTTTCGTTTTTCAAGACCCAGCTCTCCTGTCACCTGCTCTAGGACACCCTCCCTTGCCCTTGATGCTTTCCTTTTCATGGGTCGATGGTGCTGATAGCATATTGTTCTCAGTTCAGTTTAGCTCCTTAGCTCGCACTGAGACTTTACCTTGAGTGGGCCAGGCCTTGTGTGAAATGTTGGGGATAAACAGGGTCCAAGACCAGCTTTCTGGAGACTTTTCTCCTGGACTTGTTTGGGGTGGAGAACAGACCACTTCTCATGTGCTTCCATTAAGAAATAGGCCTGAGGTGGTAGCTGTAGGAGCCAAGCAAAATGGAACAAGTATGTCTATGCAGATGAAAAACACATATGCCTCTGTGTGTATGTGTTTGTGTGTGAAAGAGGGAGAGAGGAAGGGGCGAGGAATGAGTATATATGAATATATTTGGGAGCTAGGGGTACCACAGTCCCATTGATTAGCTCAGTCAAGTTTGAGCTAGAAACCAGAAGCAGGTGAAGCTAGTGTAGGCCTGCAGGCAACAAGCTTGGAACTTAGATGTTCTTTTTTCTGCCATATAAACGTTTTTTGGGGTTAACTTCTAGAAAACAGTCTGCAAGACATGTCCTTTTCTTTGGTTCACCAGCTGCAGCTCTACCTTCTCACTTAATATTCCTTCATGGGAACTGGGATTTCTGTTAGTAGTTATAGCCAGGTCTTTTTGTCCCTCCTGAACCTGAATTTGGTTTGTCCAACATACTGTATGCATAGCAAGCATCTTTCTCCGGAGTTGAGCCTTGTCTTTCAACTTATCCTACTGAATTGTATTTTTGTGTGATTGCTTATGTAACCTGTTCCTTTGTTTCTGATTTGTGCATTGCATATTTTACTTAAGTAACACACTCACACCCTTCTGTCATAAAACTAATTTCTTCTCTGCCTTCCCATCTCTCGCCCTCCCACCTCCCTAATGTCCCGCTTCCCCTTCCCCCTTCTCTCCCTCATCCTTTTCTTTTCCCTCCCCTGCCTTTTCCCCCTCTCTCTTTTACCCTCTCTCCCCCACCTCCTTCTTCCCCTTTTCCTCCCCTTCTTCCCCTCTTCTCCCCTCCTTCTCCCCTACCCCTCTCCAATATATTTCATGGTTATTTGATCTGATAGGTCTTGCCTAGGAGCTAGGGAGAAACCTATCTTGGAGGAGACTGTACACAATTGGCTAAAATTAATGACAAAACTCACAGAGCTCTGAGGGGCAGGTTCAGAAAAGATTGTCATTTTGCAGGTGAACAAACAGGTGAAGAAACAAAAGAAAAAGGAAGTCAAGAGGCCATTCCCGAAGTCAAAGATCAAGTAAGTAAGGTGCAGACCTGGAAGCAGATCCTATTATTCTGTAAGTTGCTAGAACCTTCCTCCAGCAATCAGTCTCTAACATTACCCAGCCAGGGATTTACTCACACTCTTCCCTCCTTCACCTATCTACTAGATAAATGCCGTTGTTCAGGAGACATTCCTGCAAGTTTAACTTGAGTGTAAATCTGCCAGTAATTTCCCCCTACACATGTGAAGTGAATTCTAGGCCCTGTGCTAAATGCTGATGCTACACAGATGAATCACGTAATCATAGGCCCCATGGCAGGTGGAAATTGAGGAGAGAAAACAATTATAATGAAATGAGAGGTAACATGCTCAGAGAAGCATGCAGTTCAGAAGGAATCCAGGAGGAGAACTTCAAGTCCTTTGCAGGGGAGGTCAGAAGCCAGGAAATCCTAGTACCCTGTGTTGACCCAAAGGAGATAAACAAATTCACCCATTGCACACATAGTTATGAAATATGTTATGTACCAGGCGCTGTGCTAGGAGTAAATTGATGAAGACCATATATATTGTCCTGTCCCCTGAGGAGCTTAGGGTCTATTTAGGCAGAGCAGGTACCAACACCCACTTGTATCCTGCAAGTGTCATCCTTGCCTTGATGTGGCTAACACAGGTCTGTTGGCTGTGTCTTGTGAGCTGGGTGCTAAGGATGGAAGAGACATGTTTTCAGACTTGGAGGTTCATGTTGAAAGCAGCCGCTCAAGATTGTTGGTGACCTTGAGATACAGAAAGAGTTTAGGCTGTGAAAGAGAAATTGAAGAAATAACATTAGTGTTTGCCAAAGGCATCTGCTGCTTCTCCTCGGAAGAATCAGCAAAGATTTTGTGGAATCCGGGCTAGAGATAGAAAGATGCTTTCCCATCCCCCACTATTTCATCCTTACTACTATTATGTGGGACGTGAAACTTTTATTTCTTTTTTTAAAATACTTTACTTGAAAGGCATATTTTTAGAGAGAGGAGAAGCGACAGATATTCCATCGGCTGCTTCACTTCCCAAATGGCCACAATGCCTAAAGGTGGGCTGGTCTGAAGCCAGGAGCCTGGAGCTTCTTCTGGGTCTCCCATGTGGGTGCAGAGGCCCAAAGAGCTGGATTATCTTTCACTCCTTTCTGAAGCACATTAGCAGGGAATTGGATGGGAAGTGAAGCAGCCAAAACTTGAAACAGTGCCTATAATGGGATGCCAGTAGCGCAGGCGGAGGCTTAACCTAGGGCACCATGGCTGTGGCCACTTTCATTCTTGTTTTATATGGAGAAATCCAAGGCGCAGTGGATGGACAAATGCCTGCAGTCATGCTTCCCATTTTCAACTTTGTCGCCCTTCCTATTCTGCTTGTCTACTTGTTCTGTGTGTTACTTCCAGGAAGCCTTTTTTTTTCTTCTTTCTTTCTTTCTTTTTCTTTTTTTTTTTTCAGGCACCCACCTCTCTGCATTGTTTCTTGCTTTTACTGGACTCCCCCCACTGTCCTCCAAGGCATGCTTCCATTCTCCAGATGGCCTCCCTTCCCCCAGCCAGGGGCTTACAGATTCCATATCTCTGCCGCTTGAAATTTTCTAAAGCTGGCTCAAAGCAGATTTGGATCCCTTTAAAGAGAAATCTCTAAAGCTCCAGCTTTAAGAAACGTAGGTCTTTGAGGTGGTGTGGAGCTGAATCTTAAAGGATGCCATCAATCAAGTGAACCCAGTAGAAAAGAGTATTTCAAGCTGAAAAAACTCCAGGAACAAAGGCCAGAAAGACTGAATTTGAGTGGTTTGCCTTTGGACTAGGAAATAACTCTGTGAGCCTGGATGGACTGGGTAGAATTGGGAAGTTAGGACCTGGGATTCCAAGGCCAGGCTCAGGCACCTGGTGTGCAGGCTCAGTAGGAACCCAGTCGGAAGTCTGCTGCAGTATTGTAGGAAAGAGATGGTGGAAGACTCAGTGGAAGCCGTGGAGATGGAGAAAAGCAGACCTTGGGGGCAGTGTTTCTGACCACCACTTCTTGGTCAGTTAGATGCACAGGATGAGAACACATGCAGGAGAAGCAGTGGGGTTAGGACAATGTTCATACTGCACCGGGCAGTGCCCAACTATACATTTTCAAGACAAAGGAAATGTCTGTTAATTAATTTGTAAAAATCAAGGCATGGGAGTTTATTTTGCTGAACTGGACTTACTGTTTAATTTGCACAGAAAGAAAAATCAAGGAATAACAATCAGAAAGAAAAAAACCAAAAACTTGTAGCCCACAAGTTGAATCTGGTTCATGGTGATTTGTTCAGCCTCCACACTGTTTGAAAGCAATGACTGAGTTGTTGACAGTCACATGATGAGGAGATGGTGCATAAAAATCTGACATCTCTCAAAGCAGCATGAAGATCGGGTGTCATTGAACTAGGTTTCTGCAAGGCAGTGGGTAAGAGCAGGAATGTGTGTGAGCATGTGCAGTTTTGGTCACTCACCCTACTCAACGCGTGTACACATGTGTGTTTCCAACTCCTAGCTAGAGTATAGCCTTTTGCAGGTTTTGAAATCAGATTATAGCAAAAATTCTTCTTGTTTTTAGCAAACTCTTTTACATTCAGAATTCTTGAATGACAAGTGGTGAGTGTAATTGCAGTTAAAGGTATCTGTTCCCTTGAGGAAATTTCAAAATGTCTAGCCCTCTGAAAAGAACAGTAATTTAGTTGAGAAAAGCCTGAGTCAGACCCTGAGGTCAGAACAGTACTCTCCTCTTGACTTTTGTGCATATGCATGAGTAGACACACAGGCACCACCACCACCACCACCTGCCCAAAGAAATCTCACTCATTCTAAATTAGCAATGAGGCTCTGGGAACCTCTTCTGGGAGACAATAGGAAGTGGAATCTTATTTCTACGATGCTCATTTAGTTCCTAAAGTGTTAGGGAGTTGGCACACATGGAATCCTTGATATCTCTTCCCTGTCACAGCTGTCTACTTGCCCTCCCTCCCCACCCAGGTGCTCATGCTACCCTTCCTGGATCCTCAGAGATGGCTCTGTAGGTCTGCCTGTCTTGAGGAGCATTTCTTTCTCTACCTGCTCCTTTTCAGGCTGTAGATACAGCCAAACCTTTCTCCTGCTATGATCTAGGCAATTACTATAATGAAATACTGGAGGTTGGGCACTTTAGCCAGAAAAGAGGTTTGTTGAGCCACAGTTCTGGATGTTGAGGAGCCTGATACTAATATAATTTCAGCTCTGGTAAGAACTTTATGGTGGATGACAGCATGGTGAGAGCATGTGCAGGAGAAAGAGATTACAAAGTGAGGCAGAAAGCCAGAGACTGAAGCACCAACCCCCTTCTGATGACCTATCCCAATGACCTGAGACCCTCTGAGCAGGCTTGACCCCTTAAAGACCACACTACCTTTCAGCATCACAATAGCTTCCTACTTATGTGTGAACCCTTGGGGGACAAGTCGTGGCTTCCTGTTACTCACCACTGTAATAGAAAATGACCAGTGTGTAATAGCCATGTGCCAACTGTCCTGAACCTGCTCACAAGCATTTTCTCATTCAATCAGCAGGTAAAGAAATTGGGGTACAAACAGGTAATTTGCTGGATCCTAGAGAAAAGGAGGTCAGAACTAGAATTCATAACAGGTATCATCTGTGTCAAAAAGTAATTGCTCTTGGACCTGGCATGGTGGCCCAGCGGCTAAAGTCCTTGCCTTAAACACACCGGAATCCCATATGGATGCAAGTTCTAATCCCGGTAGCTTCACTTCCCATCCAGCTCCCTGCTTGTGGCCTGGGAAGGCAGTGAAGACGGCCCAAAGCCTTGGGACCCTGTATCCGCATGGGAGACCTGGAGTAGGAAGTTCCTGGCTTCTGGTTTCGAATCAAAGCATGACTGTTGCAGTCACTTGGGGAATGAATCATCAGACGGAAGATCTTCCTTTCTGTCTCTCTCCTCTGTATATCTGACTTTGCAATAAAAATAAACGCTTCTTTAAAAAAAAAAGAGTAATTGCTCTTTAGAGCCTTCCACTCAGTATGATTTTATTTGAACTGGAAGATTCTTTATGGTAAGTGACTAGGCCATTTCTAACACAAGGCAGGGTGGGTATATATGAGGTGTGGTGGTTCTGATAGGCTCCCAAGCTCACCAGAGCTTCTCACTCTCCTGCTTCCTTGCTTTCCTTGCCTGGCATTCAGGGAGATGGCCTACTTGGGAAGCTACAAGCTGGACGATGGAAAACCTTACCTGAACAACTGCTTTCCAGCCAAGAATCTGCTTCGGACAACAGATAAAGGTCAGGTGACTTTTCAGACTTGGACCTCTTCCCCCATACTGGGCTCCTGCTTTAGGCCATTTCTCTCCCATCCCTTCACTATCATTCCCTGCCCCTCACAGTCTGGTCCCTTCCATCTGCCTTCTCTTAGCAGTCCCAGGAGGACTTCTAAAGCATGCGCTTAGTCATGTTGCCCCTGTTCTGTTTTGTGGCTTCTCACTGATTCCTTTTTCCTGGCATTCTGTGTCATTCGGAGTCTAACCTTGCCCCAGTCTCCACTACAACCTCATTCCTGTATTTATACAGCATTGCACAGTGCTAAACGACCCAGCATTCACTCAAGAGAGCCAAACTCTCCCATCTCACACTATCCCTCTCTTCCCCAGCTTCTAACAAATGTTCAGTGCCCATCCTCTCTTAGGTGCTGTTTGCCTATCTGTATTTCTTATTTGATAAGTAATCATATTGTGACCAGCTCCTAAATAAAATGTGTTAAAATGGACCCTCCTAAACATTGTTCCCAGCATATCTGTAATCTCACCTATGGTGGAACTTTCTCAAGCTCCTAAGCAGGTCCCTAGAGATGGAATCTTGTCTCAAAGTGTGGGTCCTCTGGATTGGATTTGTTGCTTTAAAAGAATAGGACCAGGGAGAAGGACACTTGTGTACTCTTAAGTGTTGGACTTTGTTGGCCACTCATTGTGTAGAATGTTGGAAGAAATTTCTCCAGTCTGTCCTCCCTACTTCACAGAATGACTTATTTTTATTTAGCAACCTTCCTTGACCATCTACTTATTAAAATCCTTCCAATGAGGCTGTCTATATGGATTTATGATCTCTCTGTCACTCATATGTTCTCTCTCTCACACTCTCTCATACACACGCACACACTCGGATAGGTGCAGAAGCACAGACGTGTGTGTCTATGTGTTAGTGTACTAATTTTTTTAAAGATTTCGGCGGTTTTTGTTTTTGTTTTGAAAGACCGATATACAACAAGAAGGAAATACAGAGAAAAAGATCTATTCACTAGTTCATTCTCCAAGCAGCTGTAACAGCTGGCCAAAGCTAAGCCGATCTGAAGCCAAAAACAGGAGCTCTCCCTAGGTCGTCTACTATGTGGGTGCAGGGTCCCAAGACTTCAGGCCATCCTCTACTGCTTTCCCAGCTACAAACAGGGACCTGGATGGGAAGTAGAGCAGCCAGGACACCAGCCAGCACCTGTATAGCATCCTGGTACATGCAAGGCAAGGATTTAGCTACGAGGCTATCGCACCAGGCCCTTAGTATACTCTTTTTTTTTTAAAGAAAAAAAAAAAGGAGATTTATTTATTTTTACTGGAAAATCAGACCCACAGAGAAAAGGAGAGACAGAGAGGAAGATCCTCCATCCGATGATTCACTCCCCAAGTAGCCACAATGGCTGAAGCTGAACCAATCCGAAGCCAGGAGCCAAGAGCCTCCTCCGGGTCTCCCACATGGGTGCAGGGTCCCAAGGCTTTGGGCCATCCTCGACTGCTTTCCCAGGCCACTAACAGGGAGCTGGATGGGAAGTGGAGCTGCCGGGATTAGAACCAGTGCCCATAGGTGATCCCAGCACATGCTTGGCCTTTACTATACTCTTTTTTTGTTTGTTTGTTTGTTTGTTTTATTTTTGTTTTTATTATTATTATTTTTTATTACATTGCATCATGAGACACAGTTTTACAGGCACTGGGATTTCCCCCTTCCCTCCCCAAAACCCGCTCCCCCCGCCCCATGGTGGATTCTTCCATCTTGTTGCATTACCACAGATCAAATTCAGTTGAGATTTTTTTTCCTTGCAAGCATCTACAAAGCATAGAGTCCAGCATCTTATTCTGCAGATAAGTTCAACAATTTCATGGGGAGACAGTCTCTGGTCTGAAGGTACAGCCGAAAGAGTATCATCCCAATCAATTGAAAGCCCCGACATTACATCAGTAACAATTTACAACGTACTGGAATTAGTTGACATGATATTGTGTAACCAGCATGTTCAAAGAGAGAGAGAGAAAACAACAACACCAACAACAAAAAAAAGAGTACAAGTTCTGAACCACATCCTATGACTTCTACATTGACATTACAATTATTAGTTTATATACAGCTGGGTTCTATACACCTTAAAATGGCTATAGATTACTATTCAGCTGTCTCATGTCTATTTTAATTTTAGTATTTAGCAGTTCATAGTGTTGAAGCCTGATTTTGCAGAACCTGGCTGTTTTTCAGGTAGTCTAGCTCTATAACTGTAACAAGACATATGTCAACAGTTTAGGTGAACAGTTTTAGGAGGGGTGTGCAGAGAAATCCTCAATACCCTAGTGAGGAGCAACTAATCTTCGTGTCCTACCCAGTGAGTTATAAGTGCATCCCCCCTGCCCATTTCCTATTTCTAAGCTTTCCTCGCTGTTCTCCATCTATTCTAGGTTTTTTTGTTTATTTGTTTATTTGTTAATTTGTTTTGAGGGGTTTCTGGAGCAATCCTGATGGTCATTATGAGAGAGAGTGGGGACCCAAAATTAGAACCAGGCAAGAACCAGAGAAAGCTCCTCTCCCTAGTCCTGAAGGAAGTTTACTGTTTTGTTTCTGCGGACCGCTCAGTGCTCCTGGTTGTCGTTCCGATGACCTTGGATCCTGCAAGGCAGGGTATGGGCTTCTTCCATCCCATGTGTGAGACCTAAATGGAAATGGGTGACCTCAGAGTTCTCGGCCTCCGAAGGCACTCCAATTCCCCGTGGTCTCCTTGGCGATTGGGATGTAGTCCTCGGAGCTCGTACTGATAGTCCTTGGTGAGAATCTAGGAGTCTTCAGAGTTGGGATACAAGCTTCCTCCTGTCTGCCTGCTCCACTCTGGGGTCCCCCCCTGCTCTGTGCATATGACCTCCTGTTAAGAGGTTGTTGGGGTTGCTCCTGATTCCCCCCATATGCCTTCGTAGTTTTGCTATTGTCTAATGCTGATTTGAGTCTGTTGTCTATGAGTTACCAGTTATGATCCTGATAGGTTATACTTCCCGTCTTCCTCACACCTTCTTGGGTGATGTAAGATTTCTCTGCTCTCCCTCCCCCTTTCCGAGTAGCATAGAGCCTTACAAGTATATTAGGTTTTACAATTCTTTGATGTAGATCAGAAGCAGTCTGACTCATATCGATTATTGATTCATTGATTACTTCACAATATCTTATTGCATGAGATACAGGCTGTTTGGGGTTGAAATAATATTGCTGTTTCAGATTGACATCAATTCATAACAACCACATCAACAACAACAGCAATAACATCGACAACAAAGTATATCACCCTGAAAAAAAGTAACACCACTGAATAGCCAACACATGCATGACAAAAAGGAAACACAGAAGTCTCTTGGGAAAAATGGTGCCAGCATTTGCTTCATAAGCACATGATGAATTCTACTAGATTATTTGGAAGCAACCAAACTGAAGTAAAAACATCAAAACACATGGGATACAGCCAAAAAAAAAAAAACCAAGAAAATAAAATTAAATTAAATTAAAACCAGGATAGATTGGACTGTTGGAGTTACCCTTTCCATGTTGGCTTCCTTATATGAGAGAGAATATATGGTATTTGTTCTTTTGTGATTGACTCCTTAATATGTGTATTTCTTGCTCTGCTGCACACACCTGGTTTCAAAACCAGTCCCTATTGAAAAGAGCAAAAGCATCTTGTTTGCAGGGTTGGGGCAGGGAAAAATGCAGAGTTTATTGGAAGGATGTACAAACCAGTCTGAAGGCACTGCTATGGCCAAAGCTGGGACAATCTAAACAATGAAATAAATGTAGGAGAATTGGGATGCAAACCATAGAATAAATAGGCATTCAGCAGTTCATACTGAAATAAAAATATTTAAATACCTAATTGGGGGAGGAGGAAGAATGCTTTCTTATGGTGAAATTCCAGGTTTTCAATGTACAAGGAATGAAGGAAAAGAAATGAGGGAAATAGAAAATCACAATTCAGACAACACAATAGTGATTTTGCAGGTAAGAACTCTCTGTGGCTTTTGTAGAAATCAGTGTTCTCAGAGAAACAGAACTAGTAATAAATAGATGATTTGATGATCAATAGGCTTTATATTTCAGGAAATTGCCTGATGTGATTGTGGGACCTGGTAAGTCTGAAGTTTGTAGGTCAGGGCAACAGGCTGGAAATTCTCATAAAGGAACTGAGGGTTTGAGGCATGACCTGAGATCCTTGAGGCAAGGGGTTTTTGGTTGGTTGGTTGGCTGTTTTTTGGGGGTTTTTTTTGTCTTGTTTTGTTTTTTCTGTCTCTAAAAAAAGCTCAAATTTTGTTTCTGTTACTGAATCTGAAATCAGATACTCATTCCAAGAGAGGCCAATGACTCAGGACAAGGGTTTAGGGAAAAGAGAGAAAGTTTATTTAGGGAGCTAGCAACTGGGCAGGTGGCCTACCAGTGCCTTAATATCCAACCTCTCTACCCAAAGGAAGAAGTCCTGATTTTTATATAGGAAAACACGAATGTGGTCCATGCCTATAGTCCTGTAAAAGAGATGCAGGAGGTGAGGTTCCCCCAAATGCCCCCTCACCAGGGGCAGGGAGGGGTCCTTATTTTACTACCAAGTGGTTCTAGTTCTTTACAACCATTCCATGGCTGCCCAGACTTCGGGGCAAAATAAACAACAACATCCAGGAATGGGCAACAGATGCCTGATCAGATTTAGGTCATTAAGGTCTTCTAATCCTCAAAATGATGCATTGTTCACCTCTTGCCTGTACTCCTGAGGGCTTTCAGCTGACTGGGTGAGAGCCACCCGCATGATCAAGGAGAATCTCTCTTTCTTAACTTCCGTTGATTTTAGACACTGATCATCAGAGAGTGCCATCCCAGTAAGGAAGCTAGGCAGGCACCACTTTAACCCAGTGACCCTAATGTACTTTACTAGTTGTAAGGTTGATTAACATCCCAAACTCCTTGAGCTAAAGCAACAAGAAAGGCACAGCTTTGTGTCTTGAGTTTTTACTAATGTGCAAAGCCTTAAGATTAATATAGTCATGGAAAAGCCCCAAACAGATTTAAATTAAGGAACATTTTATAGACTGACCTGTGCTCTTCAAAAGTGTCAAGGTCACACAAGAAAAAACAAGATAGAATCACTGTCACAGACTCAAACCAGAAATAGGGATGAGAGAGACATAACCAACCAAATGCAGTGTGAGATCTTGGTTTTAGCTCTGGAACAGGGGGAGGCCATTAGTGAGAAAACCAGCACAAGTCAAAGGGCTGTAAATCAGCAACTAATACTACACTGGTGTTGATTTCTTGGTTTTGGTAATTGTATTATAGTTATATAAGTTCATATTAGGGGAGCTGGCAAAGACTATATTTGTTCTCTGTTCCATTTTTGAAACTTTTCTGAAGGTCTAAAATTACCTCAAAATGAAAAAAGAAAGGGAAAAACTCTCCCCATGGATCTCCTTCCTGCTAAAAGCCTACCCCATTAAAACCCAGACTCCTCATGCTGGTCCTCAGGACCTTTTATAATATGACTCTGCTGACCTCACTAGCATCATCTCTTCCCTTATTAATTTTTGGGCCGTCCTTCCTGTCTTTGTTGGGGGTTTGGTACCAGCTCGTGCTGGAGTCCTCGGGAGTCAGGGGAGATGAGGTAGGGTAAAGGAGATTCTAAGTCCTTGCTCCAAATGGGGACAGCCTTAAAAAGTAAGGTATCTGTCAAACCCAGAGTGAGGCCAGGAAATAGCTCTTGTGAGATGTAGAGCAGCAACTGCATCTAAGAGGTAGGATTGGCCATAGTGGATAGGCAATCTGGGACAGGTCCCTGAGGCTGGGATAGTGGGCTGTGGCAAGAGAAAGCCAGTGGTTAGAGACACCAGATTGGTTCCCACAGCTCTGACAGTCTTCCGTGTGGGAGATATATATATATATGTGTGTGTGTATATATATATATATATACATATATATATATGTTTTTGTTTTTAGCCCTTCCCGTTTGTCTGTGGTGCTTGGGTTTTGAATCTCAGCTAGTGATTTTCTTCCAGCATACAGATCCACTTATGCTCTAGGCTGGGTGCTCCCATCTCTAGACCTCCATGGCTTGCTTTACTTCATTGAGCTCCTTTCCATCAGAGCTGCTGTCCTATTCATTTCCATAACTCCCGCTCCCAGCACAAAGTAGGTATTCAGGAAGGTCTCAGCTGTGGCTGTGGTCTGATCATTCAGCAAGTGTGACAACAAGTTTAGCTCTGTGCAGGCCTTGGAAATACTGACATGAACTAATCTAAGTCTCTTGTTCTAGAGTTTCCACTCTAGAGGAAAAGACAGATCATAAATGAATTAATAATTACTGTCATTGAATGTTGGGCAGTATGTCAACTGAAGATGCAAGAGAAAACAGTTGCCAGAATGTTGTGATTTGTGTTGCATAAGCTTACTGGTAAACATCAGAGGTTTTTTTTTTTTTTAACTTACATACACTATCTAATTATTCCTACATGCAGGACTGTGAACATGCAATATTGTGCGTTGAACTGCAAGGACCTGGTCTTTCTCTTATTCTAAGTTCCTAACATATACTTTCCCTACTAATGGCAGAAGTCTGTGAAGGTGGAACCCATGGAGTGGAGATCATGCATTGGGCTTTGTTCAAGAGGTGACCCACAGGGGAGCAAGCAGCTGATCTGGGGAGGAGTGATCAGCTCTGCTGAGGATGATCAGGGATGACTTCACAGAATGGGAAATGCTTGATCCTGGGTCCTGAAGAAACAGCAAAGTTTGAAGACTAAGTTGTGAGGAAAGAGGGAACTGGGCAAGTCCTTCCACCTCTTTTGGTCTAAGCCTGTTCCTCTATAAGGCAGAGGCAGCAAGATGCTGTTTCCTGGCTTAGGGGTTCCGTTTGTGCAGACCTCTCTCCACACCCCCAGCAGGAGTGGAGTGTCTGGTGCATGGTAGGTTACCAGGAGCTGTTTTAGGTTTGGGCGGTCTAGATCAGCATTCCACAGTGACGCTAGCCGGAACTTTGCAGTTTTCATCTTCTCGCTGTTCTAATTTTTCCAGCAGGCCGAGGACACTGGTTAGTGGCTCGAAAAGGTAACCTCAAGAATTCTAAGGGCACAGCAAAAGCACCTGCTGGGGGTCAGCACGGCCGGAAGAACATTTCTCTTGAGGTCCGAGGGAATCAAGAGTCTCAGCAGCAAAGCCAATTAGATGTTTCTGGACACATCCTGGACCGGGATTTTCTGGTGAGGACAAACACATCCTGGAGTGGCTGGAAGCATTGGCAGGGGTGCAGGGATGAGGACTCCCTCTTATTCTGTTTTTGTCCTATTCAGGACAAGGAGTTGCCTTGCTCTGGCACAACTACACCCAGGTCATACAAGGTCTAATAAGAGTGATGTTGGCAGTGTGAGTACAGCGAGGAAGACAAGGGTACTCCAGACTGCTTCCATGTACAGATTTCTTTATATTTGCCTTATGAGCTAGGTAATGTGCTGGCCTCCCTGTTCTATTGTTACCATTGGTCAGATGAGGAAACTGAGGCCCCAGGAAGTAATTTGCCTTGGCTGAGTTCCCACAGCTAGTAAATAGCTTGGTTAGATTAGAACTCCAGTTTACTGATGTCAAAATCTGTACCTTTGATTATATCAGGTAAAAAATCTTAATTGGTAAAAGAGGAGGTCCATTGAAAAAACAAATCTAGGACCTGGTGGCGTGACCTAGCGGCTAAAATCCTCTCCTTGAGTACAGTGGGATCCCATATGGGTGCCGGTTCTAGTTCCTGCAGCTCCACTTCCCATCCAACTCCCTGCTTGTGGCCTGGGAAAGCAGTTGAGGACAGCCCAAAACCTTGGGACCCTGTACCCGCGTGGGAGACCTGGAAGAGGTTCCTGGATCCTGGCTTCGGATTGGCACAGCACCGGCCATTGTGGTCACTTGGGGAGTGAATCATCTGATGGAGGATCTTCCTCTCTGTCTCTAATAAATAAATCTTAAAAAAAAAAAAAAGAAAAGAAAAACCAAATCTAGGACTTATTAGAATAGAGAAATTCCTGCTGCTCTGCTCTACTCTGGGGCCAATTCTCTGGCATCAGATGGAATTGAGGAGTCCTGCTCTCCATGTCCTTTGTCCTTTTGCTTGAGTGTCTAACTGAAAGCCAGGTAAGCAGACCAGATAGTACCCAATGCCTGGAGCTGACTTTACAATGACAGGGCTAGCTGTGCTGGAGACAAGCCAGGTACTTTTTTTTTTTTTTTCAAGATTTATCTGAGAACTAGAATGACAGAGACAAAAAAAGAAAAAAAAAAAGAAAGAAAGAAAGAAAGAAAGAAAGAAAGAAAGAAAGAAAGAAAAGATCTTCCATCCTCTAGTCTACTCCCTACTTGACTGTAATGACTAGGTCTTGTCCAGGCTGAATCTAGGAACCTAGAAACCTGGACATCCCACATTAGTGGCAGGAACCATACTTGGGCCTTTTCCCACTGCCTTCCCAAGCACATTACAAGGGAGTTGGATCAGAAGCAGAACAGCCCAGACAGAAACTGGTTCTCTGCCATGAGATGCTGAGAATGTGGTATTGCAGATGGAAGGTTAGCTCACTGGACCACGATGCCAGCCCCAAAGCCAGGTGATTTCACATCTACTGTATTCAAAGCCTCAGTAGATCGAACCATTTTGTAAATCTATGTTAGTGCACGATCTGGTTCTCGTAGCTTCCCAGGTTCTGTTGCAGTTTCCTAAATGAAGTCTGCTGGTTGGATGTTGGTTGCTTCTCCTTATTGGTGGCTAGTATCAGCTTTTTGCAGAGTCTGGTAGAGAGTGTTTCATTGTTGCATCCACTCCTCACTAGGGATAAGGAGGATGGAAACAACAACCCTATGGAGAAGCAGAAAGTCTCCCTGTGGTCTCGTCCCTTCCATTTCCAAGTAGGTGCATATTCCTACGTTTTTTTAAAAGATTCATTTACTTTTATTGCAAAGTCAGATATAAGAAGAGGAAGAGAGACAGAGAGGAAGATCTTCTGTCCGATGATTCACTCCCCAAGTGACTGCAACGGCTGGTGCTGTACCGATCTAAAGCCAGGAGCCAGGAACCTCTTGCTACTCCAAGTCTCCCACGTGGATATAGGGTCCCAAGGCTTTGGGCCATCCTTGACTGCTTTCCCAGGCCACAAGCAGGGAGTTGGTTGGGAAGTGGAGCTGCTAGGATTAGAACTTGTATCCATATGGGATTCCGGTGCGTTCAAGGAGAGGACTTTAGTTGCTAGGCTACCATGCCAGGCCCTATTCCTACACTTGACAAATATGGTTTGTTATTCAGATTGCCACTTCAGGTGTTACAAGTAAGGCCATATCCATTCTGCCTGTTCTGCGGTTCCACTCGGATGTTTCTTTGGCATTTCCTTTTTAGCTGTTCCACCAATCCTTCTCCAAGACTCCAGACATAGCTCTTCTCTAGTATTTGTTATACTATCTCTGTGTTTGTGTTGGCACTATTTTCCACCCAGTCATCAAGCCAGTAACCTGTTACACAGATGTTTATCTCGGTCTCAAACGTACATCACTTGCTCAGTCACTGATAAGAGAATGAAAGCTCCACAATCAGCTTAGACAAATCAAGATTGTCCCTTGACTTGAGAATATCTCAGAGAAATGAGAATTACACCAATGTTCTTTAACAGAAGGAAGTGGAGAAGTAGTTATTGGGAAGATAATGAACAACATCTAATGTATCCATCTTTCCTGTCTTACACTTTTTTTTGTAAGAGATTTTCATAATAAATATTAGCAGCCCCTGCCACAAAAACCTCTGACGGCTTTCTGCTGATGTAGCATAAAATCTCTGCAAAGCCAGCCTGGACTCACACGTTCCAGCGCCTACCTCTCTCACCTTGTCTTGTTTGGCATCCACTCAGGAGCCCTTGCTTTTCCTGCCTAGGTAGTCTTCACAGTCCCCTTTGCCATTCTCTTGAGTCCAATTCTATTCAGCTCTTAAGTTCCCACTGTAGTAATATTTCCTCATTTCTAGACTGGTGTTTGGACCTCCTGCCATTGTCTCCCATAGCATCTTGAATTTCTCCTTTAAAATATTCATCGTGTTTATAGATACTTGCTTGCTTTTTGGCTTTCCAAGAGTAAGCTTTCTGAAAGTATGTAGTGTCTAGGCTTTTTCTCTGTTGTCTTCTCAAAGCCTAATTCAGTGCCTAAATATAATGGATACTATAAATAAATGATTAACAGGAAAAAAAAGGAATGAGGTTTGATTAAATATAGCTAGAAGCTGCAAAGCTGAGATTTGCTTCAACTCTTTAATTATATGGGGTAACATATGGTAGTCAGAAGATCCTGAAGCTTAGTATAGATTTGGATTGGAATTGTAGATCTGTCCATTACTAGCTGTGTGACCTTAGGCAAAGCACTTTACCTTTGTTAACCTTGTTTTCCTCATTACAAAAAGGGAGACAATCTCACTTAGATCAAATAATTTAGGTAGGATTAGAAGAAAGGTTTTTTTTTTGTTTTGTTTTTTTTTTTTATTGGAAAGGCGGATATACAGAGAGGAGAGACAGAGAGGAAGATCTTCCATCCGATGATTCACTCCCCAAGTGAGCCCAACGGCCGATGCTGTGCCGATCCAAAGCCAGGAGACTCTTCTGGGTCTGGGTCTCCCACATGGGTGCAGGGTCCCAAAGCTTTGGGCCATCCTCGACTGCTTTTCCAGGCCACAAGCAGGGAGCTGGATGGGAAGTGGAACTGCTGGGATTAGAACCGGCGCCCATATGGGATCCCAGGCGTACAAGGCGAGGACCTTAGCCACTGCGCTATCACGCCGGGCCCAGAGAAAGTTTATTAATGTGCCTAGCAGAGTACATGGCCCAAAGTAGTGCTTAACAAATTTGTGGTGAGTGAATGGGCGATTAATGCGTGAACAAGCAAACATAACAAAAATATGAGATTGCCCAACATGAACAAATGGAGTATAAATTAATTGATTATACTTCTATGGGTCTTGAGAGCTGACCCCTGCCCCATGTTCCAGCTGAAGCATCACTGTGTACGGAAGCCATCGGACCTGTGCAGCATTAACGTGTGCGGCCTCAAGTTCAGCAAGGTGAGACCAGCCAGCAGACTGCCGTGGGTGAACCAGACCTGTGGGGCACCAGGCTGTTCAGGTTTGACCACTGCGCCCTCTGGAGTCCCTGAGAACTGGAGATCTTGTTTGCTACAAAGGAGGTATTCAAACAAGGACCCACTGGGTAGAAACAAAAATCAGTCACAAATGTTTGCCAAAATGTTGTTATTGCCTTTCTCCCGTTTGAGGTGGATTAAAGGAAATCAGCTTATGAAACTGGCTTTAAATTTGTTACAGAATTTTGTTGGACCATACTTCATTTTGTGACATTAAGGTCCCACCACAAGAGCCTTCAAAAGTGGTTTCAGGTCTTAGCACCAAAAATGACAATTGTTTTCTCAAGAAACCAGTGTGTCTTTAACTTGTAGACACTATGTCCTTTGTCATGAGTCATGTTTCTTTTTTTGTTTTGTTTTGCACTGGCTTATATGCAGCTCGGAGCCAGGATGACAGCCTATTGTTAGCTAACATGTATGCAGGACATTATAGCAGGTATTTTTAGTTTCTAGGCCTCCCATGCTATACTAAGAGAAATTGCTTGTCTCAAGCAGTCCCATAGGAGCGGGAGTTTTGAGCCACAGTATTCCCAGCTCAGTGGTGGGAAAGGCAGCTTCCCCACAAGGTTGTGCTTCGCTTCATTTAGTACTCCCTTCCTCAGAATTGAACTTCTTGGCAACAAGTCTTGGCCTTGAGACTGAGAAGTCACCTGTTCTCAGCCAGCCACCCTGGTCCCCACCAATGTTGGTATGTGGTTCACCCATGTTGGTGAAACAAAGTAGATTTCAGGGGTCTCTATCCATGCAGCTCTTGGGGATTACAATCCGGCTAATCAGAGCTCTGTCCCCACACTGGACACTGTTCTTCCTTCACTTATTTACTCACCCACCCATGGACCGACATTACTGAGGCCCAGCGTGGCTCTGTGCTGTCCACTGGAGCTTCAGCCAGGCCTCCGGGCAGGAAACTAACCGCATGGCTTTTTATGAAATGCCTTCCTACAGGCTAAGGAAAAGGATTTCAAGAATTTTCATTCTGTGATTTATATCAATGCCTCAGAAAACACACTGCCTCTAGGTAAGTTTTTTCTTTTTGAAAAATGTCTTCTGTCTTTTGCTGGCACAGCCACTCATTTGTTGGGATTTCTAAGTGTCCACCTGCCTGTGACTGGTTACACATCTCTTTCATGGATTGTAAGAAGTCGAATTTAGAGTAAGCAGATCTCTATACCAGCCCAGCACTCTCCCTCCTTCCACTTACAGAGAAGGTGCACAAAAATGTTTCTGAGCATGCAAGAGCTTCTGCGAGAGCAGAGCTGCCATGGTCATTTGGCAAATCCACAGCGACCCCTGCTGGGTGTTAGGGCTGTGTTCATTGCTTGGCTTTTAGGGATAAGTGCAAGTAGTTTCTACGCTGGTCAGCTCCTGGTTTGGTGGGCGAGATGGGCTCAAGGCACAGAGATGAAAGTGGTGCAGGCTGGAAGCAGCCAAGTAGGATGAATTTCACCCCAGGCCAGAGGTTCGGGAGAGACTTTTTTTTTTTAATTTCTTTATTTGTATTGGAAAATCAGATATGCAGAAAAGAGAGACCGAAAGGAAGATCTTCCATCCTTGATTTACTCCCCAAATGGCCACAACAGCTGGAGCTGAGCTGATCCAAGGCCAGGGGCCAGGAGCTTCTTCCAGGTTTCCCATGCTGGTGCAGGGTCCCAAGGCTTTGTGCTGTTCTCTACTGCTTTCCATATGGGATCCCGGTGCATGCAAGGCGAGGACTTTAGCTGCTAAGCTACTGCACCAGGCCTAGGAGGGACTTCTGAAAAGAGGAACACCCAAGCTGAGGGCACAGCAGGAGTAGGAGTGGCTCACATTTGAGGCCCAAGGAGCAAATGTTGAATTGGCAGTGCCTGATCAAGGGAGTGTGAGGAGATTTTGTGTTTGCCAGGGTGCAGGAGGGGAGAATGGAGACTGGAGATATCAGAGCAATCTGAATCCTCAAGGTCTTTGAGTGACCCAAACATGAGCTGTAATACAAGGCTGGAAGACTTTGTAAATAGACAAGGACAGCTCTGTAACAGCTGTGAAGAGGGCAGGTTATAAAAGAAGACTTTTGTTCCCATTTTCTAGGGGTGGGGGGAGATGAAATCTTGACCTTAGCATGTGGCAAGAAGGGTGAGGGAATTGAAAGGGAAGAAGGAAGAAAGAAAGGGAGGGAGAAAAGGAGGGACAGAGAGAGGAAGGGAGAAAGAAGGGTCCAAGGAGGTGAAAATCACAGACTTTTTGGGGATTTGGGGAGAGGAAGGAGAATCTCATTTAGATAGAATATGTGGGAGGATAGGCATGTCAAGGAGCAGAGGGACTGGACAAGTTCAGTTTTATTGTGTTGATTTTGAGGGGTGCACAAAGAGGTCCCTGCCCTTGAGAGGACAGTGTGCTCTGTCAGGGACACAGGCTTGAGGGGTGAAGGCCAACTGCATGAAAAATGTTCAACCTCACTGGTAATCGTAAGAGCAACAAGGTGCTGTTTTCTACCTATCGAGTGTGAAAGGACCAACGTTGGCCAGCATTGAAATGAAAATGGATACTCTTGTGCTCAATTGGCATCTTGGAAGTGATTGGCAATGTCTCTTTAAATTTAAGATAGCTTTTAATCTGGTAATTCCGCTTCTAGTTCTGTAGAACACATTCTGCAATGATAGAGAATACTTGTTGTGCAAGGATATTCATTGGAAGCATGCTGAAATACATGCCAAGCCGCTTTTCTGTTAGACTCTATTGAATATTGACACACCAGGGACCACCACCATCTCTGGTTGACAGCAGATTCCCTTAAAAGGCACTAGGTAATCCCACATGGTGTGCCAGGAGTGGCAAAGCATCAGCAGTTCCTCTTCAATGGAGTCCACACGACTGTCTGTGAGCCACTGTCTGTGCTCCCCAGGTGCCACTTCAGCGGGGAGACAATGGAGGTATTCAGCATTTGGACGCAGGAGCACCCCTGGATGCAGGAGCATCCCTGGCTTAGAGACCTCCTTCCCCCCTCTGATGATATTACCCTTTATGCCATTCCACAGGCATAGTTCCTGGAGGTCCGGGGGGGGGGGACATGTCCAGTTATAGGAGTCACTGCGTGTAGAGAAGCAGCCCACCAGGTGTCTTCCGTTCATTTGGCTTCCTAGTCCAAGAACTCATTTGGCTTCCAGTCGACCAACCTGGGGTCATTTGTACCACAAACAATAATGCTTGGTGACGTGCTTGGCCATGTTTTAGGTTGCTAGGGAACAGGGTATTAGGTTGCTAGGGAACAGGATAGAAAGTTTCACTGATGCTAAAAGGGAAGGTTTCTTACCTTTCACCTACATAGCCTGAAGCTGTTGATATTGAGACAGTGAAATAAATTAGAGTGCATCTATATTGCAGAACATGACTTGTATGTTTTAATGCAAAATAAGTTGAGAGAAGAGCAATTATAGTACAATGTACATAATATGATCCCATTGTTAAACAAAAGTGTGTGTTTCAGTATATGTGTAGGAAAAAGAGCTGGAGCATCATATGATTATTATTTCTGGGTGTTGGGATTAAAGGGAACCTTTAGTTTTCTATGATGTGTCGCTTGTTGTTGGGCATGTTTAACTTTTGTGAAGAGTTTTTAAGTGGGCTTTGCAGCTGAACAGACTTAGATTCAATTCTTGGCATAGCAGCAGTTACATTTCTAGTGAATTACTGGGCCTGACTGATTCTCAGCTTCTTCAGCTGAGACCTGGAAGTAGTGGTAATCCTTACTTGTCAGGCTTTTTTAGGGATTTAGAGGCTGTGCAAGTAAAGCACCTTAACAGTGTCTGGTGCATGCCAGTGGGAACCTAGTAAATGGTTATTACCAATATCTTTCTGCAGATTCTCTCTTTCTCTTCCCCATCCAGAGGTGTTTAATGCATTTCCAGCTTTAAAGGAACTGGAGCTCGCCTTTAACGGCATCAAAACAGTCTACGTGAAATATGGAGACTTCAGGTTATTGGAAGTAAGTCGGAGGTAGGGATTTTTTAGTGCCCACCTGTTCCGCTCTGAAGAATGAGTATAAGTTCTCTACTGAGTCTAACTGTTGGGAAGGGGATTTCTGAGCCTTACCAGCTAGGCCTTTCCTTTGTGGCAGGCTGCTAAAGAGGGCAGTGGTTGTGGTGGTGATGGTCAGGGTGTGGTGGGGGTAGAGACAGCAATGAAAATGGTAGTGGTGACAAGAAATAGATAAGACCCTTGGCTCTGATGCATGATCCCAGACAATAGCGGTCAAAGGTCATATCCAAAGGATACTGATATGTGAGTGTAAGCAAGGCATCATAGATGGGAGGTTTTAAGGGGAGAATCAGATGTGGTAGCACTGCAAAACATTAGAGGTTTGCAACTAGATGTACATAAGACCAGCTGAACTAATAGAGCCATGATGAATTTCATGATTCTAATATCATCCTTGTCTGAGTGGGCTAAGATGGAACTGAAAATTTCACTTGCCTTTCTTTCTCCTAAATTTATTTTGTCATGGTTATACATTTTTCATATATGTCCTCCTCTTTCACTTGCATAAAAATGAGGGGGTAAGGTACAAAGAGCAAAATTCTTGTCACTACTTACAAGTCACTGCACGTTTGGAAAATAGAGAACAAACTTGGGACCAAGTGTGAGACTGGGCAGGTAACCAAGCTTACTGTCATTCACTAAATGATAGCCTCCTCCCACATGCTGGCCGTAGAGTGAAAGTGTTTCTGATTCAAACTTCAGCAAAATGCATCTCATGAGCCTTGGGGATGACCCCCAAAGAGTTAGTAACTTAACAAGCTTCAGATTTTGAACATCAGCTGTTCCTCACAACAACCTTATGTAACCCGATCTTATCGGAGAGGGAAACCTCTCACAAGAGTGAGCTTTTCGGAGTTGATGGGCTTTATGTGTCAAAGTTTTTTAACTGCAAAGTTTTTTTTTTTTTTAACTGCGTGGAATGGGCCACTTTTCTCAGATGGATTGTATGTCCTTGCTTCTCATTCTGAATGTCGTGGTACCTTTTGTCCGTGATCTCAAGTCATGCTGAGGGTACAGTGATCTGTGGTTTGAGATGGAGTGGTCCTCACACTTGTTCAGGAATCAACATTCTTTAAGTCCTTTACAACAAATAGTAAATTTACAACTCATGCAATTTTCTGCAATGTTAAAAAAAATTTATGGTGGATTTTGGTACAGTGAGAAACAGGTGCCAGATGTTCTAGAGCTACAGGGATCCCTTTCCTCAATCCCTCAATCCCTGGGTTTGGGAGCTATTTTTTTTTTTTAACATTTCTTTCTTTTTATTGGAAAGACAGATAAGATTACAGAGAGAAGAGACAGAAAAATCATCCATCTGCTGCTGATTCACTCCCCAGGTGGCAGTAACAGCTAGCCAGAACTGAGCTTTTCCAAAGTCAGTAGCCAGGAACCTCCTCTGGGTATTCCATGCAGGTGCAGGGTCCCAAAGCTTCGGGCCACTCTCTACTGCTCTCCCCAACCATAAGCAGGGAGCTAGATGGGAATTAGGGCAGCCAGAACACGAACCAATGCCCATATGGGATCCCAGCACTTGCAAGGTAATGACTTGGCGATTGAGCCATCGTACCATGCCCAGCTTGGGAGCTGCTTAAGAACCCCCATCTGTTTATTCTTTTACTTTTCTGCAGGGTTGTCTCTGGCGCTGTTGTGTGTTGTGTATTTTGCCAGGCAACTTGTCTTCCTCGCCAGAACTATTTCAGATCTCTCACTGTGAGGTTCTTGAACATGACCTGACTACAGGCTCTGATCCCACCTCTTTGAGTTTTTGGAGGATCCATAGTTGATCATGACTGACTTTAGAGACCCTGCTGTATATTTCAATAGCCCTGAAAAAGATCTTTTATCTACCCGACCCAGCCCAAGCAAATGCTTTTGCATAAGGGAGTAGGACAAAGTTATGAGGCAGAATATAAATGAGAAGAGGAAATCTGTTTTTCTCTATGATTTGCAAGGATGCCCTAAGAAAAGGATAAACCTGTCAAATAGCCTGAATTTGCAACTCACAGAAATGAATACTTGATGTGTAATAAAACTTGATGTGACTCAGCAGATCCTGAAGCCAGGTTTGGAATCTTCTGTCCTTGCTGGCCAGAAAAGCTGCTCCAGGGGGGAAAGCCCCGGGTAGAATTCCACAGGAGTCAATTTAGAACAGCTTACCACTGCTGTGCTGTGGTTCTCTGCGTAAGGGTCTGAAGAGGTTCCACTGGAACCTTGCGCTGGTAGTCAGGGGAGCCTTGGTTCTGCCAGTGCTTTGCCAAGCCGCCTCCACCAAATAACTTACCTTCCTGGGATTTGATTGTCTTCTTCTGTAAACTGGGAACCACCTGTGAAATTCTGTGGTCCATGAGTCAAAGGCTATTTCAGATTCCTGCAAGGCTGTGCATAGCAAATTTAGATCCAACATGAAATAGCCAAAGCAAGTAGAATAGAGGGCTCCAAATGTTGTATATAGAAGGCTGAATAGCTATTTCAGGCTTTGTGGTCCATGTGGTCCTAACTAATCAACTCTGCAACAGAAGGAAAGCAGCGTAGCCAAGACATAAACAAGTGAGCATATTTCAATAAAACTTTGTTTGTATTGCTGAAATTTGAATTTCCTGTGATTCCCACATATGGCACACTATTACTTTATGGATTTCTTTCAAGCATTTCAAAATATAAAAGTCATTCTTTGTTGAGGGCCATACTTCACAGACAAGAAGCTGGGTTTGGCTTACAGAACACAGATTGTCCACTCCTGAGCTCAAACACTGATAGACCAGCACAGGATATGTGTGGTGGAGAGTGAGACACACTGGAGTGTCAGATGAGTGGGCCTGGAGAGAAAGCAGGAGAAAGAGAGACAATTAAAGATGTAGACCAACTGACCTTGGAGCACTAGGAACTGGTGCTAAGAGAGTTTAAACTTTCTCTCCTAGGCAATAGTGATCCACTTAAGAGTTGTAGCTGAAGAATGGTAGGGTCAGAAAAGGGGTTTAGAAGAACCATCTGATTGCTGGATGGAGACTAGACCAGAAAAGCAAGTAAGAGATACTAAAGATGTGGAGAGAATCCATAGATCCTAATGACTGTCCAGAGACCTTTCCCCATCCTTACCTGCACTTATCTGAGCCATCCCTCCAAGCCTTCCTCTTCTCTTCGCATCACCCTCAGACCTGGCATTTGCTGATGACAGCTTGAACTTGGCGTTCTTTTGATGGTCGGTACCTAGTGCTCTCCTATGCCACAGGGTTCAGCCATACCTCAAACACTTGGCAGTTCTCAGAACAAGCAAGGTTGCCTTTCACCTCCAGGCTTCTATAGCTGCTACTTGCTCTTTGTTCTTTACAAGTTGGTGAATACCTTTGTGTGTCTGAAGAAGGTTTAAATGTCACTTGCTCTGTGGAGCCTGTCCTGACGCCTGATTGACCTAATCATCCCTTACTTTTAGTGCTTACTGCTCTGTGTTCAGGTATCTGTTCCAGAATCAGCTTCCCTTAACGTTTCTATTAAGGGGATCTTTGAAACTTTGTGGGAAATGAGTTTTGTGAAAAGATGTGCATGAATTTCACATTTCTTTGTACCAAGTGAACTTTTAATTCATTTTCCTACAAACTTTGAAATTCCTTCATAGTGGCATCTAGGTTCCTAAGAAGGCTGGGAGCTCAAAGTCAATGTGCCACATTGGGTTGATGAATGAAGGTACGATGAGGATGATGACTGCAGTGGCAGCCAGTGTTACGTATGCAATTATTATTTACTGGATGCCAGGCTAAAAGCTGCATCTACGTGAGAGTCACTAACTTCTACTTTATTGCTAAGGAAGATCACACATGCAGGACTTCAACCCATGTCTGCTGAACCCATCAGTTTTTTTTTCAGCAGCAAAGTCAGAGCCAGTCCAGGCCTTCTCTGGTGTGTGTGTGTATGTCTGACTATGTGATGTGGACAAAGATGACCCAAAGACTGTTCCTGAACCAGCTGAATAACAGGCGGAGATTGACTGCATTCAGTAGGCTTTGCTGTGCATGTGTGTATAGCAGTGTGTGTATGGCGGGGGCGAGGGCGGGCACCATGCTACCACACTCATATAACAATGCCCTAGTTCTTCAACATGTATTCTGCTATCTTAGACACCTGGCAGACTTTGACAAGTACTCTGATACCCGTTTAGGGAAGGCTGTTGAAGTTGGGGCAGGGAAAGACTCCATCTGCTTGGGGAACTGGGAAAGCTTTGATGAAGCCGTAGATTCAGGTACATGAAAGAAAGGCACTCCTCTCCAGGTGGAAAGCATCACAAACATATATAGGTGGGATGGGGTGAGGAACTGGGATGAAGTCATTTTGGCTAGCACCGCAGAATAAACAAACTTTTGTACTGTCAGCTAAGGCTAGGAAATAGGTTGAGAACTGGCTCTCAAAGGCTTTTATTTAAACACCTTTATTTTTAATTGACACATAGTAATCATCATATTTGTGAACTCCAATGTGACATTTCAGTGCATGTATGTGATGTATACTGATCAGACCAGGATAACTGGCATATTTACACCTCTGGCTGGATGGTGGGAGTTGGAGGGCAGGGGGAGTAGCTAGTTCTCACCTTGTAAATGAGCAGCATTGTCATGTGTGGTGCTTCTGTTGCCCTTGTTTTGTCTTGGCATGGCAGTTCTTGGACCTTTCCTTCAACAGCCTGACCACAGAGGCCATCAGTGATCTAGGAATTCTGCCACGCCTCCGGGTCCTGCTCCTCACAGGCAACAACCTCACCTCCCTGCCACCCGATTGGGCTGTCACCGAGCAGTAAGTTGTACATCATGGAATCCATCCTGTGTTCCCTCGGGAGCCTTTCCTGGTTGTGAGTACCTGCAAAGATATCCCAGAGCAGCATCAAATGCCATGGAAACAGACTGGGCGCTCATAGAAGGAGAAGGCCATACCCTGAAGCTCTCAGGAAAGGCCTGGGTCAGGTGCCCCCCTTTCCTCAGTGCTGTTAAGAGACTCCTTGTGGCTTTGCCAGCTACTGCTGCTGATTGGCCATCTGTAAACTGTAGATATTGCTGCTGCCAGGTGATTCCCTTCCATGAGCTCTCTATTCCAGCTCAGTAAGTCTGTTCCCTGACCACTGAGAAAGCTTTGTACTTTCCTACTCTTTGTCTTTGCTGAGGTCCTTTCTCCTGGCCAGGATGGTTTGGTCCTTCACCTCCGCAGCAATTATTTAGCAGCTTACTATACACCAGACTCAGTTTACCTCACTTTACCTCTGTTGACTCATGACACTCAGAATAGCTCTAGGCAGTAGATGATTTTTATTATCGCTATTATGTAGAAGAGGAAATTGGAGCACAGACAGGCTAAAGAACTTCCCCATAGTTACCGAGCTTGTCAATGGCAGAGCTGGGATTAGACCAGTCTTTGTGATGCCAGAGACCTCAGTCATTCCTGTACTGTCTTCCTGTATAGTTACTGTACAGATACCAGGGCCTAGCTGAAGTGCTCTTTTCCCCACCAGAAGTCTTTTCTGGCTGCCATGCCCTTTCCTGCTTATTCTAAGCCTCTGTTGAGTGTAAATATTTTCCCAGTAAGTTTAGCATTTAGCTTATTCTGTTGTGATTTATACCTCATGTATATATATATATATATATATATACATATATATATATATCTTTATAGTAAGTAGATGGATGATATAGCCTTCCCAAGCATAGTGTGAGCTCCTTGAGGGCAGTAGCTCTGTCTGATTGATCCATAGCACCCAGGTGGTGATTCAGTACTTTACACACAATAGGCATTTAGTAAACACCAACCAGCTTTGAGATGGTGATGATAAAAAGTGTTGATAATGTTCATTGCAATCATGGTCATGTAATGGAGCTCTCTGGGGAAAACGGAGGTCAACTAGTTGCTAAAGGGGATTAAAAGTAGTGCTAAAAGCAGTGCCTGCTATATTCAGGATTTCATTAGCTAGGGCTTTTTTGTTGGCAAATGAAGCAAATCCATTTCAAACTGGCTTAAACAGAAAAAAAAAAAAAGAATTGATTGGCTTATGTGTCTGAAAAGTCCAGAAGTGGACCTTACAGCTAGGCACAGGTACCCCAAGATGTTGCCAGGGCTCCATGTGCACCTCTGTTTCTTTGTTATGTGTCTGTCACTCTGCACTTGCTCTCACCTGAGCATGCACACACCTTCATTTTCCTCGGGGCTGAGTCGATTTCTAGGAAGCCTTTTCTCCACCTAAAGACTGTAATATCCAGGTTAGTAATACAAAAGCCACTGGACGCACTGCAAATAGACAGGCTTGCTTGCTTGCTTCTCAGTGGGAAGAGCTAAATAGTTGATTATTTTATGATTGAAAATTTCAAACATGTTTAAAAGTAGAGCTAAAAGTAAGCTAACTCCCATGTACCTATGACCCAGCCATGATCTATTATTTCCTGTCAGTACTGCACCTCCACTGCTGCTGCTATCTCTGGAAATGCTAACAGAAGCCAGACAACAGGGTTGCCTCTGCCTGTGCCCTGGCTGTCAGCCTCTGACCCATCCCTTTCCTGACAGCACCTACCTGGAAAGGTAGGCTGGGAGATGTAGTTCAAGGAGGCTGACTCCAGGCACTCCAGGAAATAGCTTGCAGAGAAGATGTGAGGGCTAAGAATGAACAAGCAGTGATGGCACCATCCAACACTAGGAATCCCGACATCTAATCTCTCCTTGTTGAAGTTCCCTATGACATTAGCAACTACACCATGCCTCGCCTAAACACAAGAACATTTCCTCATGCACTGAAGACACTTTCAATATCCTCTAAAAAGGAATAAGGGGAAGGGTGTTTACCACATCCCACCACAGGAATAGCTGGGTTTGAGCCCCAGCTCCACTTCAAATCTGATTTTTTTTTTTTCTTCTAACGTGCAACCTGGACGGCGGTGGTGATGGTTCAAGTAGTTGGACCCTGTTAGTGGAAGACCTAGATGGAGTTGTGGCTCATGACTTTGGGCTGGCTCTGGGTGTTGTATGCATTTGGGAGGGGGGATGAACCAGCAGATGGGAGACAGCTCTGACTTGATTTTCCAGTAGTTTTGATCTGTGGTTAGTCAAATCAATGGAGGACTGACTGTAATGGCTACAGTTAGTTACCTTTGTTAATTGTCAAGGGACCAGTGAGAGTTTAGAAATCTGCCATCCCTGCCACTCTTGCAGCATCTCCCTGGCCCTGCTCCTTTAACTGATGTGCTAAGCCTTCATTCCTGAAGGACTTCTGTTTTTATTTTTATAAAATATTGTATCATTTTAAGACTTTTAGTTACATTTGGCCACCTCAAAGTATTTGTAACTTTAGTTTGGTCACTTTAAATAGTATGGCTCCTTTTGGCATAAATAATGTTTTTTTTAAAAAAATATTTATTTTGGGCCTGGCGGCGTGGCCTAGTGGCTAAAGTTCTCGCCTTGAACACGCCAGGATCCCATATGGGCCCCGGTTCTAATCCCGGCAGCTCCACTTCCCATCCAGCTCCTTGCTTGTGGCCTGGGAAAGCAGTTGAGGACAGCCCAAAGCTTTGGGACCCTGCACCTGTGTGGGATGCCTGGAAGAAGTTCCTGGATCCTGGCTTCAGATCGGCATAGCATTGGCCATTGCGCTCACTTGGGGAATGAATCACTGGATGGAGGATCTTCCTCTCTGTCTCTCCTCCTCTATGTATATCTGACTTTCCAATAAATAAATCTTTTTTAAAAATTCAAAATTTATTTAAAAATATATATATATTTTTTTTATTTTTATTTGAAAGGTAGAGTTAAGAGAGTCTGGCTGGATCTGGACCAGTCTGAAGCTAGGAGCTTTTTCCAGGTCTCCCACATGGGTCCAGGGGCCCAAGAACTCAAGGCATCTTCCACTGCTTTCCCAGGTACATTAGCAGAGAGCTGGATCAGAAACAGAGCAGCCAGGACTTGAACTGGCTCCTGTATGGGATGCCAGCCTCTGCCAGGCAGAGGCTTAGTGGATACACTGTGCCAGAGTACTGGCCCCAAGGGCAAATAATCTTTACATTCAAACTTTGATTCTATAAAGCAGTGAGACTTATTTTAACAGCAATAATTATGCAAACTATACCTTGTTACCAGTTATACAAGACTAAAATCTCTTTCCACGAATATCCAGAGTACTTGTCTACTATTTAACCACTCATGTAAACATTCCATGTATGAAATAACCACTAACAGATGGAAGTATTAGCACTGTACATTTGCCAAACCTCATGCATGAGAAACCATTCTCGGAAAATTCATATAATCATGAAGCCTGAAAAGCAATTTATAAAAGTTATTCAATCATTAAAAATATTATCTGAAAATGTAAACTCTTATTATAGATTTTCACTGTACATACAGCTATAAACACTTATCTCTTTGTTTTTTAAAAAAAGGAAATGAGATTTGAGAATTTGGACATTTCTGTCCCAATAGATATTAAACACATTTTCCACCTAAGACATTATACTGAAAGGACTATCATAGATCTAAAAATGAGATTGCTGTCCTCACAAGTTTTTTTAAATATTAGAAACTATAGCCATGTTGATCTAAGTGCTTATTTTATGCAGTCATAATGACCTTCAATGTATTATTTTCATTTTTAATAAAGATTTGTTTATTTACTCAAAATCCAGAGTTACAAAGGGAGACCGTCCATATTCAGGTTCCCTCCCCAGCTGGCCACAATGGCAGGGATTGGGGCAGGCCAAAGCCCACAGGCTGGAACTCCATCTGGGGCTCCTACATCAGTGACAGGGCCCAAGCACTTGGACCATCTTCTGCTTTCCCAGGTACATTAGCAGGGAGCTGTCTCAGAAGTACAGCAGCTGAGTATCAAATCTGAGCCCATATGGGATGCCAGTGTCAGAGGTGGCAGCTTAACCCACTGTATCTCAGCGTCAGCCTCCATTTTTTTTTCTAAAATAAATTATGATAAGTTATTTGGAATGGTCTGTGAAGAAACTCTTTGAAATTTCTTTAAGGATGACAAAGCCTTGGTAAAATGGTGGTGCTTTTAGGATTTTGCATTATCATGTATACTAGCACAACGTATGGGGTGTATCTACGCTCACAGTTTGGGATGCTGAAAAAGTGGCATGCAGGATCTGGTGAATGTCCTTTGGAAGAGCAGCAGGCACTGCTCTCTGGATCTGTCCTAGAGGCCTTTCTCATTTCTGATCCCACTCAAACTGACAGCCTAATGGATCCTTAGTAAATAAATGAGTCAGAACAGCATAGATGTTTTTTGCTTAACTTTCAGAACCCAAAAAAGCCAATGAAGCTTTGTGGGTTTTTTTGTAATGCAAGGTACAGGACTGTGCCTTTTTTTGTTGGAGGTGTATCCCTATATGCTCCAGATAGCTAGACATGAAGAAAATTAAAATGACAGGATGCTAAATTCATGCAGCATTTACCTCCCTCTTATTTCACATGTGTATGAAATGATAGCATCACAGGTGTTTGTAACTTTTCCTGCTCAGCAAGTCCAATAAGCATGATGTGCAAGATAGCCAAGTGAGCAAGATCCCCGTGAAGCAGATTATGCTCTCAGGGCAGAGCACCCTGCTTCTGGCAGCTTTGATAAGGAAACACCTGTCAGTTCCTCAGCTGTATCCCTGGTGCCACGGGCTGGTGTTGATTGCTGCAATAAAAAGGCTCCACACCTGAAACAGCAGGTAGAATTGGAGTCACCGCGTGATTAAGCTTACGAGAACCTGCAGTTGTTGTTCAAGCCAAACAAACAAGCTAAGATAGGCGGGGATGTCCGGGAGTCCTTCTGCTTCCATCTCTCTAGTCTTGAACGATGGCAGTAGTCTCTGCTGTCACCTCAAAGATGTACTGTCAGCTTCCTTCTGCTAGGAAGAAAAGTTCCTGGGGCTTCAACTGGCATCCTGCTAGAATAGCTCTCACTTTGTTGGGTAGCAAAGGTATTCTGCGAGGTAGGTCAGTGTGTCTGTTTTGTTATATGCTCAGGGCTTACAGTTCAGAGGTAGAACTCATGTAGAGAAAAAACTCAAGTACTTGGAAAGGGACTGGACCACCAAGGAAGAGTATGAAGAGTACAGAAAAACAGCGGGTTCAAGGTAGGCAACTGGAGGGCACCGGTGTTTCAGAAGTTGACAAGAGGATCCCGCAGAGTGCAGTGAGTGTGAACAGATGGATGGGGAGAAAACCATGACAGTGATGATTGTCTGGAGGCCCAAAGCACAGTAATTTCAACTGATGCTCTGACATAGGAAAGAGGGACACATTTATTCTCTCCTTTTACACATAAGGAAGTGGAACTGCAAGGTGCTAGAGACTTGTCTTTTTTCTTGTTAAAAAGACCTTCCACTGAAAGAATGATGAACTAAATACCTGAAGAAATACCCATTAAAATATGTAAGGAGCAGAAATATGGCCTAGCATTACACTGCCCCTTAAGATGTCTCTGATCCCTCATCAGATACCTAGGATCAAATCCCCACAACTGCTCCTGACCCAGCTTCCTGCTGGTGTCCACCCTAAGAAGCAGCAGATGGTGACTCAAGCACAGAATCCCTGCCACACTGGTGACCTGAACAGACCTCAGAAGACATGAAAAGCAATGTTACTCATCAAAAAATTGGAACTCAATCCTGGTCTCCCACATGACAGGCAGGTACCCAGCCACTTTAGTCACCACCTGCTACCTGCTAGGGTATCCACCTGCAGAAAGCTAGAACTAGGAACAGAGTTAGAACCCAAACCCAGGCACTCGGACATGGAATTCAGGCATCTCAATGTCCAAGTGCCAAGCCAAACACCCAAGTTTGAGCAGTATGTCTAACCTTATCCAAAGTCTTGTAAGTGTAGAGTTTTTTTTTAATCCTCTTAAGTAGATAGGTCTGGGCCCAGAGATGCCTACCAGCAGCCAGAAGTCACACAGCAAGCAAAGCAACAACATAAGCCAAAGCTTAGGCTCTTCTGTGCTGCTTGTAAAATAGCATAAAATTCCCACTGCTGACTCCCAACTGTTCAGCATACTCTTGGCTTCTAAAATAGTTAGGTTAAATCTGTCAGAGTTTAAGTGGTTCTTAAAAGCAGTTTTTTAATCCAAATCAATTTTTTTTTTATTGAAAAGGCAAATTTACAGAGATGAGGAGAGACAGAAAGGTCTTCCATCTGTCAGTTCACCCTCCAATTGGGCATAACAGCTGTCCAGACTGAGCTGATCTGAAACAAGGAGTCAGGAGTTGCTTCTGGGTCTCCCACATGGCTGCAGGGTCCCAAGCTTTTAGGCCATCCTCTGCTAATTTCCCAGGCCACAAGCAGGGAACTGGATGTGAAGAGGAATAGCCAGGACACGAACCGTGACTCAAATGGGATCCTGGCACCACAGGGCTGAGGATTAGCCTACTATACGGTGCTGGCACTGGCCCCAGGTTTTGGAGTCTTCAGGCAAGTTGCCAAGAGCTTGAGCCACTTGCCTTTCATATTTAAATAGAATCACCTGGCCCTCATCCACTAGAGGACACAAATGAGATCACATTAAGGCTACTAAAATGCTTCCCCTGCCTGCCAGGACCTCCGTCCCTTAACTCTTGCTCTCACACATTTTTGGGCTCGCTCAGCTGAGTTTAGAAAGATATTTTTTAACTCCTCACTGGTGTGTGTGTTTTATAAAGTCACTTGAGAGGACACCCTCCTTACAGCCAGCAACAGTGACTCAGGCCAGCGCCTTGCACTTGATTCAGAGGCAAAGCTGTGACCTGTAACACGGGCATTGCCAGTGCCCCTGTGGCTGCCAGTTCCCAGCAAGGATCACACAGCATCCCACTGAGCCCAAACCATGAGTGCTCCCCTTGCACAGCCCTGCCTTGCTCACCCTATTTTCTGTGAGTGCTATTAATGCCCCCTGCCCTGCCCTGCCCAGTGTCAGGGATGTGTGTGGTTGTTCCCCTGCAGGAGACTCAGTGTGCAAGTGGGGTTTTGGCCAAGAGTCCATGGGGGAAGAAATACACCTGCTATCCACTCCTGTGAGGACCTCTGTTGGGCACCCAAGAAGTTCCCCAGCTGGAGAGACTTCCCGACTGGTTCCCTACCCTCCATTTCTTTGCGCAGTTGGCACAACGTGTCCCCCGCCTTGCTCATGACCCAAGATTTTGCATTAACAGGGAGGCATCTGTGACATCGCTGACCAGCAAGAGGTACCTGCTGAGATTCCCGGCGCTGGAGACCCTGATGCTGGATGACAACAAGCTGTCCAACCCCAGTTGCTTTGCCAGCCTGGCTGGGCTCCGGAGGTAAAGCCACAGCTTTTGCCTTACCTGACCCTCCCCACCCCAGCCTCTCTGAGTGCTGCTCCGGAAGCCACTGGGCCTAGTGTCCTGCTGTGTGGCTGTGGCTAAAGCTTTAGCTCACCATAAAAGTGGGGCATCAGGAAGGAAGTTTCTGATCGTGTAACTGGATGAGAACTGGCAAATTTGGGGGCTGTTACTCCATCCAGGACCGTCAGCTTGAGGGAGGAGGGAGGGGGACAAAACAACTCTGAGAGGGAAGCTGAAGTGCTGAGTTCTAAATTGGTTGAAAGGAGAAAAAATGCTGGCAAATAATTAACCCTTAGATCCCTAAAAAAAAAAACTTGACTCAGCTGCTATTTACTGAATGTACTGCTGTGTTCCATTTACATATCATCTCATATTCCCATTTGAGAACCAGGTGTACTGAGGCCCACAGGGTCATTCACTGGCTCAGACTCACACGAGAGGATTAAGTGTCCAAGCCTGATTCTGTGTTCCTTGCCTAAAGCTGGCTTGGTAAATATCACCGAAGTATCATTACTGCTGTGATTCTGTATTCGCTTTCCTTAATTGAAGACTGAAGAAGTTAAGCCTGGACCAAAACAGGATTTTCCGGATCCCGTACCTACAGCAGGTTCAGCTCCGCCACAGGTCGGGGAACTGGGCTGGAGGCAGAGCAAGTCCCCAGAAAGAGCCCCGACCCGTGTCACAGCCCAGGCCGTGGATATATGACGCCTCCGATGAGCAACCTGACTATACTGTGCTGCCCATGAAGAAGGACGTTGACCGCACAGGTGAGCCATGCCCCTGGCTCCAGGCACAGCCCCGCCTGATCCCTGAGCAAGTGTCCCACGTGTTTGTCTCCCTGCCAGGGCCTGTACTGAAGCTGGTCCCCAGTTCTATCAGGGCAAATGCTTTTGAAAACCACTTAAAGTGGATACTTTATTTAAAAAAGGATTTATTTATTTTTATTGAAAAGTCAGACATAGAGAGAGAGGAGAAGAGACAGAAAGGAAAATCTTCTGTCTACTGATTCACTCCCCAAGTGGCCGCAAGAGCCAGAGCTGAGCCAATCCAAAGCCAGAAGCCAGGAGCAGCTTCTGGGTCTTCCATGCAGGTGCAGGATCCCAAGGCTTTGGGCCATCCTCAACTATTTTCCCAGGCCACAAGCAGGGAGCTGGGTGGGACGTGTAGCCACTGGCACACAAACTGGTGCCCATATGTGATCTCAGCATGTGCAAGGCAAGGACTTTAGCCACTAGTCTACTGTGCCGGGCCCAAAACGTGGATACTTAAAAAACAAAATCTCAAATTATGAGCCATGCAAAAGTGAGGGTTCGCAGAGACTTGTGCTTTGGTGGTGTGGTATGCCGAGGTCCCTGAGACTTGGTCCCTGTTCTGCAAGCTGCCACTGTCCTCAGAATCACGTCCATAACACAGCATTCAGAGGCAAAAAGGAAAGAAATGTCACCTTTATTAGAAACCCAAATCCCTGGGCCCAGCGGCGTGGCCTAACGGCTAAAGTCCTCACCTTGAATGCACTGGGATCCCATATGGGCGCCGGTTCTAATCCAGCTCCCTGCTTGTGGCCTGGAAAGGCAGTCAAGGACGGTCCAAGGCCTTGGGACCCTGCACCCGTGTGGGATACCCGGAAGAAGTTCCTGGATCCTGGCTTCGGATCGGCATAGTATCGGCCGTTGCGCTCACTTGGGGAATGAAACATCGGACGGAAGATCTTCCTCTCTGTCTCTCCTCCTCTCTGTATATCTGACTTTCCAATAAATAAATAAAGCTTTAACAAAAAAAAAAAAGAAACCCAAATCCCTGTAATACACACGCGTGTTTCTGGATTGTGTGTTCTGGTCCACTGATCTGGCTGTTGTTAGTATGCTACATTCTACCCGCCCCCACCCTTTATTTTAAATGAAGGAAAATCACTTTGCATAAAACACAGAAAACTTATATAGAACTTGAACTTTTCCAGAAAGGAGTACTTTCTTATTTGCATGAACATAGTTTTATAAACTATGTTCTATTTTGTCTTAATAGCTGCATGTAATACTCATAATCATTTAAGATATAAATTTCCTTTGTAAATTTTTAGCTTTTAATAGATTCAATACAGCTCAAAGATATAATTCTAAGGATATGATAGTCCCTTCCTCCTTTCTTTTCTTACCTTTTTGAAAAAACAGTTTAAATTTATATTGCAGTAAAAAGGCTTAATGTTTAAATGTCATTGGTGTTTTGGTCAAGCTTGCATTGAATCTGTAGGTTGTTTTAGTGGTAGAGATATTTTTTAATTTTTTGTTATTATTATAAAGATTTATTTATTTATATTTGATAGGCAGATTTACAAAGTGAAGAGGATCCAGAGAGAGATCTTCCATCCACTATTCCCCAAGAGGCCAAAATGGCTGGAGCTGAGCCAATCCAAAGCCAGGAGCTTCTCGATCTCCCACATGGTTGCAGGGGCCCTAAGTCTTGGACCTCTACTGCTTTCCCAGGCACATTAGCAGGGAGCTGGATCAGAAGTGGAGTAGCAAGGACACAAACTGGCAGCCATATGGGATGCCAGCACTGGAGGGTAGAGGATTAGCCTGTTGAGCCACAGAGTCAGCCCCAGGATAGACATTTTAATAGCGGCTTTTCCAATGCATGAGCAAAGAATATATTTCCTTTCTTATGTCCTTGATTATTTCTTTCATCAATTATTGTAGAGTTCTTTAACTTCTTTGGTTAAACTTATCCCTAAATATTTGGGGGTTTTGTGGCTATTATGAATGTGATTTCTTTCTTGATTTTTCTTTCAGTGGGTTCATCATTATTGTATAAAAGAGTGGGTTTTATTTGCTCATGACCTGTAACTTCACTGAATTAGTTTATTGATTCTAACAGTGTTTGGGGGGAGTGTTTAGGATTGGCCATGCACTTCACGTTTCCTGCAAATAGGAATAGTTTGACTTCCCTTCGAACAGTCAGCTTCCTTTGTTTCTTTTTCTTAACTGCCCTTGCTAAGCTTCTTGTTACTATAATGAGTAAGAAAGTGAAAGTGGACGTTCTTGGCTTGTTTCACATCTGAGGGGAAATGTATTCAGCATGTATTCAGCGTTTCCCCTCTCAGTACAACACTGGCTATTGGTTTGTCATATGCAGCCTCATGATTTTGAGAAATGTACCTTCGGTACCTAATTTATACAAAGGTGCTGTTTTTTTTTTTGTCATGAAAGAGTGTTGAATCTAATCAAATGCTTTTTTCTGCATCTATTCAGATGATCATTAGGTGCTGACCACTTGTTCCAATCAAATGCCCTTATGGGACGTCAGCGTTGCAGTTAGCAGCTGAGTCCACTGTGCCACGGTATTGGTCCCTGTTAGGTTTTTTTGGTAGGCCTGTGCTACCTTGCTTCTTCATGTCTCCTGCGTCCCTGTGTTGACTTCTACACATGTGATGTAATCATCCCTTCCTTTTATGGAGTAGCTTTTATTGGAAGAGAGTTTGTGGTTTAGCTGGAATACAAGATATCACTAGGTTTGTTGCTTTGGCTTTTTTTTTTAAGATTTATTTATTTTTTATTACAAAGTCAGATATACAACGAGGAAAAGAGACAGAGGGGAAGATCCTCCATCCAGTGATTCACTCCCCAAGTGACCATAACGGCCGGTGCTGTGCCAATCCAAAGCCAGGATCCAGGAACTTCTTCTGGGTCTCCCACGCGGTTGCAGGGTCCCAAGGCTTTGGGCCGTCCTCAACTGCTTTCCCAGGCCACAAGCAGGGAGCTGGATGGGAAGCGGGGTGGCCACGATTAGAACCGGTGCCCATATGGGATCCTAGCGTGTTCAAGGCGAGAACTTTAGCCACTAGGCCACGCCGCCGGCCCTGCTTTGGCTTTGATCTGAGTGACGCGATTATCTTAATCAGTGTCACTTGTGTCTATTAAGTGACCCAGTGGTAGAATGGGCTACATTTTTAGGGATAGAAGTGTGGCTTTGTAATGAATGTGGGTTTGTCGGGGTGTGCATTTGATTCACACCGAGTTCCATGTCAGTGTCTCTGGAGATTGTGGCAGCCAGGTCCATGTTCTTGATGCCAAGGGAAACAAATGCGACTGTTCCCTTGTTCCGTGGGCAATCTTGGGTGATGCTGGGGCTTGTGGCTCCAATAGCTATGGTTCTAGAACTGTGTGGTGTGGATGAGCCCATCCTCGGATGAGTCCAGCTGGTATGGTGGCTGATAGCACCAGCAGCCCTGGTCCTGGGACTGGGGGATGCAGACTGCCACCTGCTCCAGTCCTGTGGGATGACTACAAGGTCTGCAGGAGATTTTGCTGTAGTGGATTTAAGTCCAGAGGTGGAATGTCCATTGGTTTTTCTTCAAGTCCACCAGATCGATTCCAAAGGGATTGAGAAATTCAGAGCTAATTGTTACTTACAGTCCTGGTGTTGCAGGGTAGAGTTCGGTCGTTATCCAACTCTTAGGGTGGGAGCAGGGTTTTTTTAGTTGTTTTTTGTGTTAGTGGCCGGAAACTGAGATGAATCCCCTTAGCTCACAGAGTGTGAAAGTATAGTCTCCCCGCTTGCAGGATCCCCACAGAACCCCCAGAATCCCCACAGCTGCAGGATGCAGGGCACCTGTGCTTTGACTGACTCTGACTCCAACTCTGGCAGGAGAACAGGGGCCCTGTGTGACTTTCGCTGCTGAGGCCCACTCCACAGCAGTTGCTCAGACCCCAGGCAGCTCCCTGGGCTGAGGTCAAACACAGTGGGTGACAGTGGAATTTCCTCTCCGGGAGAACTCTGAGTGAGTATGTGACAGTTTCTCTTGTGATGTGGTAAGGTGGAGGCTCACAGCTGGAGCAGCTGGCAGCTGCTTTGTCTCGGTTTTCTTTTCTCTTGTCCCACGGAGTCTTCGTGTTTTGTCACTTCTCCACTGAAAATGTCTGTTGAGTCAGGCTCTGAAAATACGGTCCTTCTTTGCTCTTTTTCATATTGCAAAGGCAGCCGAAGTTATCATGACTGTACCCTATTCAGCCATCCTACACCTCCCAATACTACAGCAGGGAACAGTTCTGGGTGACACTCTTTCAGTCAGGAACTCCTCCAGGAATGACCACCTTCCGGCTTCTGTCACCGTAGACCCATCTGGCTTAGTTTGAACTTCATGCACATAGAGTCACCATAACATGTGCTCTTTCACTCAACACTGTATCTGTGAGCTTCAATGATGTTATTGTATACATCAGTAGTTTGATATCTTCTATTTCTCTTATTTAATCCTTTGAGTCCACAGTTTAACGTTTTTAACTGTTGATAGGATGCTGGCATCACAAATGGTGACTTAAGCCACTGTGCCACAAGGCTGACCCTCACAGTTGTGAATTTTAATGAGATCCAGTTCATCAGCCTTTTATAGTTAGTGCTTTTTGTTTGTTAAGATTTTTTTTTACATATCACAAGGCTATGAAGATATTTTCTTTCAGAAGCTTAAGTTCATACACTTTGCTCTGAGATTTATTCAGAATTTTTGTCTATGCTATCAGTCATTCAAAATGGGTTCTTTTTTCCTTACAACCTGTGTATCCTACTGACCCAGCACCATCTGTTAAGAAGGGAACATCTTCTGCCTGCCTTTCCCTGAGTTGTGAGGGACGGGGGCATTGTCTTCAGCTGGGTGACAATGTAGGAACCAAAATGCCCGCAGTGTAGAACAGTTGTGGGACCTGGCAGTGATGTCCTGCAGTCGGCGGCTGCTCTTCGGGACCTTGTGTTTCTTGCACATGGAGACTGCTGGTCAGTGTTCACACAAAATTCTGCAGGAATTTTGCAAGGCATTTGCATGGACCCCTTAGATCAATTTGGGAAAAACCTGACACCTTCACACTGTTGAGTTTTCAAATTCATTAAAAACTCTATCCTATGAGTTTTTTCTTTGTTTTTTTTTTTTTAATTTGCTCAGCAGTACTTTGTAATCTTCAGTGGTGAGACAGTATATTTTTTTTCATTAGTTTGTCCTTAAGTGGTTTTTTTTTAAGATTTATTTTATTTTTATTGCAAAGTCATATATAGAGAGAGGAGGAGAGACAGAGAGGAACATCTTGCGTCCATTGATTCACTCCGCAAGTGACTGCAATGGCCAGAGCTGCACTCTACATCCGAAGTCAGAGCCCAGAGCCTCTTCCAGGTCTCCCTTGAGGGTGCAGGGTCCTAAGGCTTTGGGCTGTCCTTGACTGCTTTCCCAGGCCACAATCAGGGACTAGATGGGAAACGGGGCTGTTGGGATTAGAACCGGTACCCATATGGGATCCTAGTAGATGCAAGGCAAGGACTTTAACCGCTAGGCTACTGCGCTGGGCCCAAGTGGTTGGTTTTTCTATGTTGTTGCCAAAGTTATTGCCAGGCAGCCAGCCCCTCCTGCACGCCAGCGCTGCAGTGGTCCTCTTACCAGCAGCGCTATTGTGCTGTTGGCAGAGTCTCGCAGGAAGCCCTGGCACAGCAGGAATGCAGTAGATAGACCCCTAAAACAGGAGGGAAGAGGAGGTTCAGAAGTAGAATGTAACACTTGTACAACAGAACTTTCACCTAAAATGATTCTTCTGTCTGGCTGGTTTGTGAATTGTTGAGGAATGATTGTATTTCCTTGCATTTTAGTATTGTTTGCCATCCAGCTTGTTCAAGTCACTGTTATCCAGGTAGATTCTACCTTCAAATCACTGAAAAATGTCCTCCTTTAGTAATCATTTTGAACTTGGGCCTCTATTTTTTGACTGATGTATTTTAGAACATCTCTAGAATACTGTAGCACTGTGTATATTTTCCGGAATAGGTCATGTCCTGTAATAGAATAACTTAAACTCATATTGTGGTTCTAGGTACATTTCAACTTAAAGCTATCATTCCTACTCCACCGTCCCTGTTTGTCCAGGATTTTTTATTTTCTATGTGCCTTTTTTGTGAAAACTGACCAAATTTTCTTTTGTTCCATTTGTTGCTGTGATTGTTTAAAGCCATGCATTTCATTTCTGTATTTCTAATGGCTACCTTAAAACTGTGAAGCACATTTTTAGACTGACCCTGGTCTATCAATACATAGATTCAATCAAATCTAAGACTTTAATAAGAAGCAAATTTGACGGGCCAGTGCTATTGCTTAGCAAATTTAGCTTTAGTCTATGTTGACAGCATCTCACATGGGCACCGGTTCATGTCCCAGATGCTTCACTTGTGATCCAGGCCCCTGCTTATAGCCTGGGAAAGCAGTGGAGAATAGCTCAAGTCTTTGGAACTCTGCACTGAGGTGGGAGACCTGGAAAAGGCTCCCGGCTTCAGATTGGCTCCTGTCTTCTGGCCACTTGGGGAGTGAGCCAGCAGATGGTGAAGAGACAGCATTTAGTAGAGACCAAACCTTTTGCTTGGGTTGTTTTTAGTTCTCTTGTCAAGGATTAGTATGTGTGTGTTCCCTTCTTGAGTTTATGTTCTGTTCCATTGATTATCTTCTCTGTTTCTGTACTAATACCACACTGTTTTTGATTACCACTGCCTGTAGTATAGCTTGAGGTCTAGAATTATGATTCCTTCCAGCTTTATTTGTATTCTTCAGGGAGCTGTGGCTATTCCGTAGTGTCTTGTGTTTTCAGATGAATTTCTGTTTCAGATGTATCAGCTGTTCTGTTTCTGAGAATGTTTTGGGGATTTTGATTGGAATCACATTGAATCAGTTTATTACTTTCGGCGATATAGACATTTTGATGATGTTGGTTCTACTGACTCAGGAACATAGTAAATTTCTTCTTTTAATGTCCTCTATTTTTTTTTTAAGATTTATTTTATTTTTATTGAAAAGTCGGCTATACAGAGTGGAGAGACAGAGAGGAAGATCTTCCGTCCGATGATTCACTCCCCAGGCAGCTGCAACAGCTGGAACTGAGCCAATCCGAAGCCAGGATCCAGGAGCTTCCTTCTGGGTCTCCCAAGCGGGTGCAGGGTCCCAAAGCTTTGGGCCATCCTCGACTGCTTTCCCGGGCCACAGGCAGGGAGCTGGATGGGAAGCGGGGCTGCTGGGATTAGAACCTGCGCCCTTATGGGATGCCAGCACGTTTTAGACGAGGACTTTAACCACTGCGCCATTGCGCCGGGCCCTGTCCTCTATTTTTTTTTTAATGTTTTGTAATTTGTCTTACATATTTTTGTTAGGTTTATTCTAAGGTATCTTAAGGTTCATCTCTGCCATTCTGAAAGGATCTGCATTTACAAGTTCTTTCTCAGCCATGGAGTTATTTGTGAATACGGTTATCAGTTTATGTTCATTGATTTTCTACCTTGTGACCCTGCCAAACTCTGCTGTGAGCTCCAGTGGCCTCTTTATTGAGTCCATTGATTCTCTCATGAGTAGAATTGTGTCATCTGCAAACAGAGATAGTTTGACTTCCTCTTTTCCAATTTGAATTACTTAAATTGCCTTTTCTTGTCTTAAAGCTCTAGCAAGGACTTCCAATACTATATTGCATAACAGTGGTGAAAATGGATATCCTTATCTAGTACCATTTCTTAGGGGAAAATCTTCCAATTGTTCCCCATTCAGTACAATGCTGCCATGGGTTTTTTGTATACTGCTTTGCTTGTGTTGTAGAATGTTCCCTCTGTGCCTATCTTGCGTAGGGTTTTTATCGTGAAGTGGTGTTGGATTTTATCAGATGCCTTCCCTGCATCTGTTGATGATCATATGGTTTTTATTCTTCATTTTGTTGATGTGGTACATCACATTTATTGATTTATGTATGTTAAACCATCCTTGCATGCCAGGGATGAATGTCACATGGTCTAGGTTAATTATCTGTCTGATGCATTGTTGGATTTTGTTGTCTGGTATTTTGTTGAGGATTTTTGCATCTGTGTTCATCAGGGGTATTTGTCTGTTATTCTTCTTTGTTATGTCTCTATTGGCTTTGGTATTAAGGTGACATTGGCTTCATAGAAAGTTCAAAAGGATTCCCTCTCTTCCTAATGTTTTGAATAGCTTGTGGAGGATTGGGATAAGTTCTTGAAACATTTGGTAGAATTCAGCAGTGAGACCATCTGGTCCTGGGCTTTTCTTTGTTGGGAGGGATTTAGTTACTGATTTAATCTCTGTTTTGGATATAGATTTACTTAGATTTTTAATTACCTCATGATTGAATTGTAGTAAATTGTATGTGTCCAGAATTCTTATCCATTTCTTCTAGATCTTTCAATTTGTTGGCATATAGTTGTTTTAATAGTCCCTGATTACTGCATGTATATCTGAGGTTTCCCTTGTTATATTTCCTTTATTTTCTCAGATTCTATTTATTTGTATCTTCTCTCTCCTTTTTTTGATTAGTTGGGCTAGGGGGAAATCTTTTGTTGATTTCCTCAAAGAATGAGCTCTTTGATTCGCTGATCTTACATATTATCCTTTTGGTTTCTATTTGGCTTATTTTCTCCCTTATTTTGTTTCCGTCTGTTTTCTGTTAATCTTGGGATTATTTTGCTGGTTTTTTTTTTTCTAGCTCCCTCAGATGCCTCATTATCCCATTTACCTGGTGCCTTTCTAGTTTTTTGACATAGGCATTAATTGAAAAAAACTTTCTTTTTTTTATCACTGCCTTGACTGCTGCACAAGTTTTCATATATTGTGTTGATGCCTTCATGTCAAGCAAGTTTTTATTTCCTCTTTCATTTCATTATTCATTTAGCAGCATGTTGTTCAGTCTCCAAGTATTTGCATATCTTCTGGGGTATTTTGACACGTTGGTCTCCAGTTTCACTCCATAATGTTTCAAAAAGATGCATGCTATGGGGTTCAGTGCGGTAGCCTAGTGGCTGAAGTCCTCACCTTGCACGCACCAGGATCCCAGATTGGTGCCAATTTATGTCCTGGCAGCCCTGCTTCCCATCCAGCTCCCTGCTTGTGGCCTGGGAAAATAGTTGAGGATGGCCCAAAGCCTTGGGATCCTGCACCTGCATGGAAGACCCAGAAGAAGCTCCTGGCTCCTCGCTTTGGATCGGCTCAGCTCCGGCCCATTGCAGCCACTTGCAGAGTGAATCATAGGACAGAAGATCTTCCTCTTTGTCTCTCCTCCTCTCTGTATATATGACTTTCCAATAAAAATGAATGAAGGAATCTGCATAGTGTGATGTTAACTTTTTAAAACTTGCTGAGACTAGTTATGTGCCTATAATGTGATCAATCCTGGAAAAGTTTCAGTGTACTGATGACAAAGTGTGTTCTATGTCTGTAGCAAGGAAGATTCTAGAGATATCAATTAAGTTCATTTTTTTTCTGTCATCTGAGTGAGCTCTGCTTCCTTGCTGAGTTTCTATCTCATCCATGTGTCATTTGAAGTTAGTGGCGTGTTAAGGTTCCCTGTTGTTATTTTATTAGAGTCTGTTTCTGCCTTTAAATTCATTAATGCCCTGGCATTTGGTGCATGTGTATTTATTATGGTGATTTCTTCTTGCTGAATGGATCCCTCAATCATGTGGTATCTGCCTTCATCTCTTTTAATGCTTTTCACATCAAAGTCTGAATTATCTGACTTTGGATTGGCTACAAGCTCATCCTGGAAATCTCAGCTGGCTTCTCTTCCCAGTGAGCCTTGGAGCTGAGGACCAGTGAGAGCCCCTTCCTTGCTGTGCACTGTGGGTGGCCGACCCAGACCCTGGCCTTTCTGAAGAGTCAGTCAATGCTCTACTCAACCGTCCTTCTGTTTCTCTGTTTCAGAAGTTGTGTTCTCATCGTACCCTGGATTTTCTACCTCAGAGGTAGGAACTACCTATTTTATATTTGTGTTCTTAACATAGGACCTTAATTTTTAGCATCAAAACAAGTAAGTTAATGGAGTCAGGAAGCTGCATTTCTATAGAGCATACTGAGAAAGCCATCCACTGAGGCCTTCAAAACTTAATGGAAAAGTGGAACTAAAATATATGCTTATTTTGAAGCCTGACGATTATATGCATATTTTTTCATAATGTATATGTTTTGTTAGCCTTTATTTATTATTTTTTAGTTTTACTGGAAAGGCAGAGAGATGGAAAGAAATCTTCCATCTGTTTCATTCCCTACATGCCTACAATAGCCAGGATGGGGGCAAGTCAAAGCCAGTAATCCAAACTCAACCCAGGTCTCCCACATGGGTGGCAAGGACCAAAGTACTTGAGCCATCATCTGATGCCTTCCACAGTGCATGTTAGTGGGACACTGGATCAGAAACAGGAGCTAGGGCTTGAGCCAGGTTCTCTAACATGGGATGCAGCTACCCCAAGTGACATCTTGACTGTGATGCCAAATGCCTTCTTCTCCATGAACTTTTTGAAGATCTCCTGTATTTACCAAATACCTACCTATGCCAGGCTCCATGCTTGGCCTGGAGATATGCTCGTGGGCCAGACTGTGGCCATGACTCCTCAGCCCACAGCCCTGCTTTCATTGTTGTCAGGAGCTGTTTAGCCTGGTGTAATCATGGTGGCTACTCGAAGTGATAGCATTGGCATTAAGGCAGAGCTGCCATTCCTAGTGCAGCCCAGCAGTTCACCAACAGGAATCCGTGCCATGCTGGAAATGGCCTTGCCAGGTATACAATCCCCAGGATCTAGTCCTTGTGTTACAGGCTTAGACACGTGTTTTTGGTCAGCTGAGAAGATGGTTTCTTCTCTCAGGGCAGATGCCTAGCAACCAAAGTGATAGAGGCTGTGCTTGTGAAATAAGTACTGACTTCTTCATTTGTAGTAAGTAGTACAACTCTATACTAAGAGAGGAAACTGCACATACTGCCCCCCCTACAGAAACAGTGTGGGACAAGTTATATCTGCTGCAGAATAAGGTACTCTTGTAATTTCTGACTTGGAACAAGAGCACAGATAGTTTCTCACAAGTACATGAGCTGACTAGGTGGTTCTACTGGTTCTACCAGGGCTCACCTGTGCAGCTGCATTCAGCCAGCAGGTTAGCTGGAATCTGGACTCAGTAGGAAGTTGGCCTGGTCTAGCAATTCTATATTGTCTTTTCAACCTATTGTGTTTGTAACACAGTGGCACCAGTGTTTCAAGAAAGCCAGGGATTCTAAAATTGAAGCAGTGTTACTGTTGTTTTATTGTATTTGGCCAAAGCCAGCCAAAAGGCAGTACAGTTCTGACATTAACCACCCAGAGCTAAGTACAGACCTCTCAGGTTTAAGGGCACCATTCCCAGAAAGACTGCCTTCATTTTGAGTCTAGCCACAAGTTTGCGGGGCCACCGTACTTAGGACTTCCTGGCTATAAATTCTGCAGTTCTTTCAACCTTCTCAAGTTCAGTCATTAGAATGATTCATAGGACTCAGGAAAAAGTTGTTTGCAACAACAACTTTTTTTTACATTGAGCATATAAGGACCAGTCAAATGAAAGGACAAATAAGGTGAGCTCTGCCCAGGTTCTGTGGGCAGAGATTTTGTAGCCTCTCCCAGTGGAGTGAGAGCACGTCATCCTGCCAGCACCACAGTAAGCACCTGCCAGGAAGCTCACCTGAGCCTCAGGCCCAAAGCTTTGAGTCCTGTCATCAGCATGCACTCCAGTGCCATCCAAGGAGTGCTGAGTAGTAGACAGTCCCTGCACTCGGGAAATCTCAAGGGCTTTAGAAGCTGGGACCAGAAACCCAGGCCAAAGACCAGATAAATTCTTCATTACACCAGAGTCCTTCTGGTTTCAAGGGGTAAAGATATGAAGGGCTAAGGATAATCAGTAGGATTTCCCAGTGCTCAGAGTCCACCTGTCTGGTGCCTGAGAATCTAGAGTGTGAGTTGGATAACTGAGACTTTTAGTTGATTCCACACATACCCACACACACCCCACCCTCACTGAAATTCTGTTGCATCCAGTGTCTAAGACGAAGCCTTCTCTGCTCCCACGACACACACAGTCCCTCAAAGCTGATGTGCGGATCACCCAGAGAGGGCAGTCACACAGGATTCCCACACAATCCCTGGTTTTTGTTTCATTCTCCACCTGTGACTGACCTGTCCCATTTGTGTGGCTTTTAACTCATTGACCCAGGAGGATGCAAAATATGTGACTCAAGGTAGGTGCCCTACAAATGGTCACTGAATAAACACCATGAAATTTAAATGATGTATTCAAGATCACGCAGTGATGACTGGGACATGGCAGTGTCTAGTTTGCTCTAACCTAGTCACTGGTCCCTCCCAGTTGAAACAGCCAGTAAGTGAACTGATCTATGCAGGTTTAACCCACCAGTTTGTTTTTTGCTTGATTGGACGTGTTGGTCCTAATGTAACCTGTGCTATGCATGCACCACATCCAGTCCTGGCTGAGTCATCCAGGACTTAGCTGTTGTTTCATCGCTGAATGAAGACCTTCCACTGTAGGAGTAAGGCTAGGGCCTCAGGCAAGGTACTCAAGGCTCTAGACACTCTTGCTGTCCCTCTCTCCAGTCAGAGAACTCCCCTTAACACCTGCTGGATACGGGTCAGTTCAACTGTGAGAGGACTGATGGAGGACAAGCTGCTGCAGCCCAAGGGTTGGAGGTGGGACAAGAATACCTGTGCTGTCTGCCCCCTGCTCTCTTATTCTGTGACCTCAACATGAAACTGGATGTGGGTGCTGGAGAATTAGCTCACTGTATGACCTTAAACATGGAGGCAGAATTCTGAGTCCTTGGTGATTTCTGCTCTGATGACCCCAGATGTTCCTTGGGACCAAGGGTCTCTAGAAAGGTCGTTCTTTCTACCATGTTCCAAGGGAAGGATCCTTTGGCGCTTGAGAGCTCTAGCTGATTTATCATCAAGGCCCTCTGACTTTGACTTTTTTCTTTTCCCCTTCTAAGACAACCAAGGTCTACTCACTTCCTCCCATATTCGAGATCCTTCCTGTGAAGTCTCTGAAGGCCAGGAACCAGACGCTGGCCCCACCCTTCCCGGAGCTGAGGTACCTTAGCCTGGCCTACAACAAGGTGACTCTCTGCCTCCCTGCTAATTTCCTCTAGGTCACCTGTGGTGGGTGGGGTGGGGTGTGAGCTGTTCGGGTCTGAGGGTCAGTCCTCCAATTCTTGCATTATGGGTATTCAGGTTCAGGAATTCTCAAGGTGAGGAAAGTGGAGGGAATGCCAGCCAAGGCAGGTGTCCATCCATTCCGTCAGAAATACTTCACCTGCCAGCCTGTGAAGTAGACATAAGTTATACCACTGAGAAAGGAGAAACTTGGCCGCTGCCCTCTGAGAGCTTATCATCTGTGGGGAAAATGAGCACGCGACAGTCAGGATGCCAGCACACCTGCTATCAAGAACAGACTCACCATGTTACAACAAGGGGATATAATGTGAATGATAGGGCCCAAGGACCAGAACCATCTTCTGCTGCCTTCCCAGTCCACTAGAAGGGGACTGGATTGGAAACAGAGCAACCTAGATTTCTCAGGTGGTAGCTCAAAAGCCCCCTCGGTACCTGGCAGTAGATGAAGGAGAATGGGATGTGTGGTGAGAGAAGTGTGGGATGTGCAGGAGGCTGTACATGGGCCAAACCTGGAAGTGGCATTTACCACTTCCACGTAGTAACCACACCTAGAGCCCAGGGAACAGGAGCAGGAGACATGGCCCTGCCTTTGTACACAAGGTGCAGGAAATAGCTTGTGCTAACACGGAAGTGTCTGCCACCCACTAGCTCTCCTCCCCCTGCCTTCGCTGATTGCTTCCTTCCTTCCTTCAGGTCTCAGACCAGGGTGGACCACCTGGCATTTGTCATGTTTACCACAGTTGTCAGCCTATTCTCCTTTCTTGTTTCTCTCCAGTGCTTGTTTCCCACTGGAGACTGCTGAGGACAGGGATCCTAGCTGTTTGGCTCTTTCCCCAGCACAGTGCTTGGCACAGGGTGGTAAGAGAAGGAATAATCGAGGTTGTGCAGGGGAGAGGCATTGTTCCCTAGAGAACCCAGGGAAGCCAAACTGAGGTGCCCTCCCCGTACCAGACCCTGGGCCTCAGCACCAGACCCAACACTTGCTAGTGTATCCAAGGTCTGATAAACTGCGGAATCATTGCTAATCCATCTCACTCCAGGGTCATCCCCATGTGATCCAGCCTTATTGAACTCTGTTCAATAAGAATTCTATTGTGGATGAAACAGCATGGAGTTTCTATTTGTGCTGGCTTCCCCTGGCCTCATGTGCCCTGTTCCTCCTCTTAGGACAGAAACCATCGGAAGTGCAGGTGACAGACGGATGGATGTTTGTGTGGGTCCACACTGAAGAAGGGGATGTGTCATTCTGAAGTCAAACCTCTCAGACTCTGAGACAAGTGCTCTGTGTGTTTCTCTCACCTTTCCTGGGTACTTGACATAGGCCACATATCCAGTATGGGGAAGGGAGAGAAAGGCTCAACTCAAACATGAACTCTGGTTCTGGTGGAAGACTGGCCAGGAGGAACAAGGCCACTGGATGGAAACAGGTGCCATTGCAGGGATGAGGCACAGTGGCAGCTGCTGCCCGGACCTGCCCTGGGTCCTGGCAAGTCGGTGGCTCTGCACTGTGGGGCCCGGACACAGCCTGGAGCAGTGAGGGTGCTGTGGACCTGACAGTGTTCCCTGCATTTGTTATAGATTGCCAAGGAGGATGCTCTCCTGCCAGTAGCTCTCTTCCCATCACTCTGCGAACTTGTCTTTCATAACAACCCTCTGGTAGCCCACACACGAGGTATGCTGCCCACCAATCTGCCTCCCCTGTACAGCACTCCAGGAACAGCATGGCCACATTCAGCACCCCACCCTAACCCCTGTCATCGGGACCAGGCTCTGCTGCATTCAGCCTTTGTGCTAGGGGACAGGCCTGAGCAGTACCAGTGTCCGCTAAATTCCTCCCCACCTCCTGCCAGCCCCTACTTACCTACCTGCACATCCAGGAGGCAGGCAGGTGGGGCGAGGGGGCAGCAGTGCTGGCTGGGCCTGGTGTGTCTAGAGGGGAGGCATGGAGCTCGCTGTCCAAGGTGCAGAATTGTGCCAAAGACCTGGGCCCTGTAGGGATGCTAGAGTTCTGATCCCTGCCCCCACATATTCTTTGGTATCTTGGATAAATTTCTTGACCTCTCTGTGCCTCCATGCCAATCACATGAGGATCATGTGGTGTCTACTTCCCTGGGTTGGCAGGAGAATGAAGTGACATTAGTGTGTGAACACCAGAGGACAGGGCTGGTACACGGGAAGTCCCCACATACCCACGTGGGCTGACAGTCATCTTATTCTCTCCATCATGACATCAGGAGTCCCTCCACTGCTCAAAAGCTTTCTTCAGGACCGACTGGGGATCCACTTGATTCGAAAGCAGCCAGTAAAAGTTAAGCATCATATGTTGATGCCCCGGAAGGAGTCGCGGAAGGTAAATCTCCCCAGCCTGGGCTGCTGTGATGCCTACACGGTAATGGAGCAGCTCTCGGTCGCAAGACCTGCAGTCTCTCCAGGTTCAGTGTTGTCTTTTGCTTTGCTCTGTTAAATACATATAGGACCAGGAGGTGCACAGTGAGCCAGAACTAAAAGGTTAGAGCAGTTGGGTCCTTGGAGGTGACTCAGCCCTCCATGAAACAGAGATGTGAAGGCCTGGAGAATGGGGAGGAATCAGCTTTGCAGCTGGAAGAGCCAGAGGTGAGCCTGGACTTGCCGCTTTTTCATGGCTGCTGGGAAGACTAGGCTCAGAGAGGTGCTGACAGCTGGTCGGGACGTTCAGTAGGCCACCTCACCCTCCTAAGACCAAGGTCCTGATGAGAAGTTAGAGAAGATAAACCCAGAACCACTAGCTAAACAAGCGCATCAGCGCTCTGAAGCTAGTCTGGCACCGCAGCCAGACTGCAGAATGTGCTGGAGGTCTAAAGCCGCTCAGAAATGCCTGCCTATCCCCTGTGTGCTTAGGGCTGCAGCTGAGTGCACCACCAAGCTCCAGCCTTCTGCTTGCTCTGGGACCAGATAGATGCCGTGGGCCCTGCACCCATACCCACAGACGGACACAACAGGAAGCAAGGGCCTATAACCAAGTGGCTCGCAAATGGAAGGGAATGGCCTATCCTTGAGGCAGGGAACCCAGCCCCCAGCAAGGTGGACCAGGCACCATTGCCTCTCACCACTTGAACCTTGAAAAAGGGCTGGAAGAGTGGGGCAGGGAAGGGGTAAAGCAAAAATAACCCCTGCAACACTCCTCCATCCCCAGACTGGGAGGGAGGGAGGGGCAAATGGTGGCACTTGGTGGACCTCTGTAATGTGGGTCCCAAGCCTGGGATTGTCCAGCTTCGTGCCTGAGCACTGAGGTCATGCATGTCAGAGCAAGTATCTTCCTAAAAAGAAACTTGCTTCATGAAACAGCCTCCACACTTCCGGCATGTTAGGGGACACTGTTGCATGTCATTTCCCTGGGAGAACACAGGATGTCCTATGTTGACCTCCCTATACGACCTCAGCTTGTAAAGGCATGGCAATGAGTGGACCAAATCCCCTGGACAAAAAACAAGTGTCACTCAGCATGAACCATGAGAGGAGGCTCCATGGTCCCCGAAGCCATGGCGAAGGAGGAAGGCATGAAGGTAGCAGGCATGTGGTAACCAAAGCAAACATGCAGGTCCTCAGGACTCTGGTGCTGCCACCTTCCAGAAAAGGCAGGTCCATCTGCCATGCCCACTTGGAGCCTCCAGGGCACTGTGTTAACCCTGATCTGAATAGTGAATCTACCAAGAGCCACAGGGACAGGGCTCAGAGCTCTGCCACCCAATCACTGTGTGATCTCAATCATCTTGCCTCTCTAAGCCCATTTCCTCTTGCAGTTTCAAAGTGTATACTTGCAAAGATGCCTTCTCTCCCCATGCCCTGAAAGCCTGCCGAATGCACTGAGCCCGGCCCAGGCTCATGAGGCCCAGGAGGAAAGACTGCCAGCCAAGGAGCGAGTCCAACCTAGCCCTTCTCCCCTCACAGGTGAAAACCCAAGTCCCAAAGGTGCCGAAGCAGCCTCTGCTGCTGCAGCATCCGTGTGCAAGGACCCTTAAGTCCTCTTGGAGCGACCTGCTGGAGCCAGAAGCTGACCTGGCCGAGGAGCTGCCTCCAACTCACGGTGCTGCCTTGGAGCCAGAGGTGCCCCTTGAGGGCCTGGACAGCCTCTCCCTGTCCCACCGGTCCTTTGTGCCGCTGCCTCCCATCTGCTCTGACTCCACCCTACACAGCGAAGACTCCGTGTCCCACCACAGCGATGCAGCTGGCCGTCTCAGCCCAGAGCACCTGTCAGATGAGGACACCAAGAGCACAGCGTCCATCTTCTTAACCCAGGTATCTATACCCCACTGTCCTGCCCCCCTGCTTCCCCAGCAGCCACAGAGATCTGTGTCTCTCTTGGCTGTAGCCCACTGGGGACAGCAGAAGCACAGGATAGATGCTGAAGCCAGAAAGCAACACCCAGAGCTGCTGGCGGGGACACCCACTGGGCTGTGTCACAGATGTCACAGACAGCATTCAGACTGCAGCTGGGCATGGTCCCAGCCAGGATGTCAGGAGGGTCTGCTGCTGCCCCTGCCTCAAGCCCGCGTCAGCTGGTGCTGCCTGTGGAACCTGGCACGCAAGTGAGGCAGGGAAGATGGGCAGGAATGATGTGTGTGGTCAGTATTTGAGATCAAGAGAAATGCGAGGCGGGCAACCTGGAGGATGGAAGATGCTGCAATCTCCCCCCTCCCTGCCACTCCCAACCAGGGGACAATGGAGCTGGCCTTGACAGGATGGGTAGGAGTTGGCAATGAGAAGACCTGGGCATTATGGGAGCATTCTGGACAGAGCAGTGTGTGAGACAGTGCAGAGAAGGACGATGCAGAGGCACGTAGGGAAGCTGTGGGGCATCCTCAGTGTGCTGCGGTGTGGTGTTTAGACAAAAGCGAATGAATCCACATTACAGCAACCCCAGTGTAAACAGTCCCCACCACAGGGGGACATTTTGTTTCATATGGAAAGTCACTGAAGCTGTCGTAGAATTTCCTTCAGGCCTAGTGTATGAGGCGTGTGTGGAACATCAACGAACTTTGTGTTTAGGCTTGGATCTCATCCCTCATTAACTATTACACAAATATTCCCAATTCCTAAACATTCTGAAATACTTCCAGTCTCAGGATACCCAACCTGTGTGAGTCCAGATGTGTTGGCAGAGTGCCCTGGCATATCACATCAGCTTTTCCCTGCCTCCAGGAGCTGCCCACTGCCAGATTTTATCCACACATCTATATCTGACTTTCCATCTATCTTGTACATAAGAGACAAATGTAACCAGTATAACAGTATCCTTATGAGTGAACTCTGAATCTGCAAGATAAATATTTTTTAAATAAATGGAGAACTACTGATGTGGCGTAGTAGGCTAACTAAGCAGATCCATATTAGAGTGTCATTTAAAGCTCTCGTGCTCCACTTCCAATCCAGCTTCCTGCTAATGCGCCTGGAAAGGCAGTGGATGATGGCCCAAGTACTTGGGCACCTGCCACCAAAGTGGGAGACCAAAATAGAGTTCCTAGTTTTTGCTTTTGGCCTGAATCAGCTGTAGCCATCAAGCCATTAGAGGATAGATTTCTCTGCCTTAAAAATAATAAACCTTTCAAGGGAAAAAATAAAAACCCTGAGCATTTGGCCTCACAGTTAAGATGCTCACATCCTCCACTGAGTGCCTGGGTTCAGTGCCCAGCTCTGGTCCTTAACTGTGGCTTCCTGCTACTGCAGACCCAGCCCGGGAGACAGCAGTGATGGCTCAAGTCATAAAGAAACCTGGATTGAGTTTCCAGCTCCCAGCTTTAGCTTCTACCCTACCCCAGCTGTCACGGGCCTTTGGGAAGTAAAAGCCCCAAACCAGTGAATGGCAGAGCTCTTTTTTTTTTTTTTTAAATCTTTTTCTGCTTATTAAGAAAAAAAAATTTTTTTTTAACTGAGTTAGATGAAAGGAACATACGGACAGGAAAGGAAGGCCATTCTGAGCTTCCTGGGAGCCAAAGCAGAGCATCGAGTTATGACTCAACACAGTGTAAGAACAAACCTAGAGTGCTTGTTGACTTTTCCCCTGCTTCATCACCTTGTCACCTCCAGTGCAGGTCAAGACGGAAGTTGTGTGAACAGGGTGGCCTTATCTTGTTCCTTCCATTTTTGAGAATGTGGCAAGGTTAGACATGAAGCCTCAGTAGATGCCCTTTTGTCAGACTGATGAGGGTTTTTTTGCTCACACTCATGCTGGTGGCTTGCAATCATGACAGGATGTTGGATTTCCTTAATGCTTTCTCTGTGACTACCAAGCATGTCTACCCTGCTGACATGGCGTGTTACACCAGCTGGTTTCCAGATGTTAAACCAACCTTGTGTTTACCTGGGACAAATTCTACCTGGCCATAGTCTTAAACCCCCTTACCATGGTGCCAAATCCAATTTGCTATTGTCTTGGAATTTGCATTCAGAAGCGATGACGACCTTCTTGTTAAATCTTTTCTAGTTGGCTTCCAAGAGTAGTGTGGTATCCCTTGTCTCTATTTCTATAGGAGATATGAAAGATTGGTGTTGATTCCTCTCAAAATGTTGGGCAGAATTCACATCCTCTGGCCTTTGCTTTGCTTTGATTTATGGGAAGTTTAAGAATTACTATTCAGTCTTTTTCCTTAGCATAGACTTTTGCTTCTTCCTGAATTGGCTATTTTAATATAGGGTGTAACTGTATGCCCAGAAAATAGAAAATATAGCTATCCCTCTATTTATTTACTTATTCTGAAAAGCAGAGTTAGAGAGGAGGACAGCAAGAGCCTCCATCCACTGGTTCCCTCAGATGGCAATATCAGCCGAGCTCAGCTGATCTGCAGCTAGGAGTTTCATCTGGATCTCCCAAATGGGTACAGGTGCCCAGGATGTGGGCCATCTTCTGCTGTTTTTTGGGGTTTTTTTGTTTTTGTTTTTTTTTTTTTTTCAGGCCAAAAGCAGGGAGCTGGATAAGAAGTGGAACAGCCAGGACATGAACAGGTGCCACAGAAATGGTAGCATCTGCAGATGAAGGATTATCCTGTTAAGTCATTGTGCCAGCCCCAGCTGTCCTGCTTCTTATAAAATGCTAAGGGCAGGCTGGAAGCCTCCAGTGGTTTGCCATCAGAGTGAACACAAAGAGAACACAACAACAGGTCAGGCCAGGTTATGTAGCACAGTGAGCTAAGCTATAGCTAACAGTGCTAGCATCCCACATTGGAGGGCTAGCCCGAGTCCCGGCTGTCCTTCGCTTCAGATGCCGTTTCCCATTAATGCTTGTAGGAAGGCAGCAGATGATGGTGCAAGTGCTTAGGCTCCTGCTACCCAGGTGGGGGACCTGATCAGAGGCACAGGCACCTGGCTGAGGCCTGGAGGGTCTTGGCTGTTAATGCCACTTGGGGAATGAACCAGGTGGTTCACTCTGTGTGTCTCTCCCGCTGTCTCTGCCACTCAGATAACATGCATGCTGTTTTTTTTTTTCTTTCAAAGCGAGTTCCCTATTTGCACTGTACTCTTGCCATACTGATAACTTTGTGCTGCAGAAGCACCCTGCTCTCCTCACTGCTGCACCTTCTCAACTTGCTGCCCCAGGCCTGCAGCACTCCTCCCATCCCTGCCATCCACAGCACAGCATTCCTGGCTCTGTGAGACTTAGGCTAGGGGCCCAGCACAGTGACTCAATCTTCCCCTCGCAAGTGCTGGGATTCTATGTGGGCATCAGTTTGTGTCCCGGCTACTCCACTTCCCATCCAGTTCTCTGCCCGTGGCCTTGGAAAGTACAGGAAGGTCCAAAGTTCCTGATTCTTGGCTTTGGATCAGCTCAGCTCTGGCTGTTGCAGCCATGTGGGGAGTGAACTGCTGAATTGAAGAGGGGTTTCTCTGTCTTTCCTTCCCTCTGTAAATCTGCCTTTTCAATAAAAATATATCTTAAAAAAAAAGAAAATTAAGGCTAGAGTACTCCCTCTCTCCAGGGAGCTGGGCTGGGCCTTCTTCCTTGCTCGGAACTGTCAGGGATTTTCAACATGTTTTCCAAGGTGTTGGGCTCACATCCCCTCTGACTCCTCCCTGGTGGGGGCTTGGCCTCTGAGAGGGCCCAGATGGGAGACCGCTGTGGCATTCCCAGGCTCAGTGTATGGGCATCTCTTTCTCGGCACAGGTGAGCGAGCTGCCTTCCCCTGGCACCCCTAGGGATGACTCTGAAGTGAAGGAGGAAGTGCAAAGCGGACAAGCCGTGGTGCCCAAGGAAGCGAAGAAGCCCCAGAGGAAGCTCTCAGCTGCCTCTGTGCCCAGCAAGTACCGTGGCTACGAGGAGCTGCTGACAGCCATGCCAGACCCGACCTTTGCGGAGCCCAAGGGTGAGGGCATGGCCATGCTCCAGGACCAGGAGCCATCACCACCAGGCCTGGGCCACTGCCAAGACTTCCCATACCAGCCGCAGAGCCATCCTCTGCCTCCTGGGGTGGCCTGGCTGAAAGCCTGAAGCTTTGGGGTGCAGCACTGGCTTAGAGTCCAGTTGCCATGAGCCCCCTGACTGCTAGAAATGGCTCTTCTCAGGAGCAGAGTGAGGAACACCCAGAGGCCAGGCCCTGAGCTCCCTGGGACTACTCAAGCCCCAGGCTGAGCATCCAGAGCCCTCCTCAGTTGGTTTAAGGCACATGTGGTACCACTCTCTGAACTGCCATTTCAGACCCAGGCACTTCTAAAGGACCTGGCCCTCTGCTGGGGGCCTGACCCCTATAGTGGAGTCTCGAGGTTAATGGGGCCACATGGTCCCTGAATGGATAATGGCACTGCGGGCACAGGGCCAGCTCAGAGGGCAGTTTGGAGAAGGCTTTTCATTCTAGAACAGTGTCCTTACCTTCTCCCCCCAGGAATCCAGAAGAATGTGCAGGCCCTGCAGCACATGCTGAGGCACCCGCTCGTCTATCGCTCCTCCAAGCCCAAGCTGGACAGTCTGCAGAAGTTCTACGTCCCCAGGGAGAAGCGTGTGAGCTTCCTGTGGCTGGGCTCCCCAGGGCTGTGTGAGGAAGGGAGGCCCTGAGAAACTGCACACAAACCTGGGGTGACCCCTGCTCCCCTCTTACCTCCTATCAGGCCCACAGGGTCCCGATCCCACCCCCAAGGAAGACTCGAGCCCAGCTGCTGGATGACCTCCTCATTCGCATGCGGGACCCCCGAAATATCACCGAGGCTCCCCTAGGTAAGTGTGGGCCCTCGCAGCGTCCACTCCAGAAGAGGCCGAGCCCCCAAAGCCCTTCCATTGGGCCTGGGCTAGGAGAGCATCAGTGGGGGTAAGGAGCATGGCTGGGTTGCCCCTGGATGCCCTCCTCCCACGCACCTGCTTCCCGGCGGCCCTGGCCTGTGTCCCGGCAGGTGCGGTGCTGCGCCGGCGGACGGAGCAGCGGCTGGTGAACCAGAAGCAGTACCTGGAGGCCAAGCGGCTACTCAAGGAGTTCCGGGCACGCTACCGGCAGCTGGTGCGTGGCTCCCTGCGGACAGTGTTTGGGACCCAACCACCAGCCCCAGCCCGCCCAGCTCTGAGCGAGGGGCAGCGCAACTTGGGCCGCTTTCTTGATTTCATGGATGAATTCTGCCAAGAGCCCACAGCCGGTGACTCGAAACGCTAGGGCTACACGAAGGGCCCCCGCGCACCGACCCTACACTCCCTGTGGGAACAGAGCCCTGGACAGCTCCTTGGGGCTGGCTGGTGGGATCGCGGGGCTAGCCGCTTAGCCTGGAGTCAGTCCACTTCTCTCCTCAGGTGGGGCAGGACCCTGTACCTGGTCCAGCAGCAATAAAGAGTGGCACAAAGAGCAGCAGATTGTGTGTGGGCCTTCTTCCTTGGACCCCAGGCCAGAGCCACAGCAGCGTTTCCAGTGGGAATGCTATGGGACTGCCCTGCAGAGCAGGAACAGAACCCTGGGAGATAGGTCAGAGGAGCATCGAACCCACAGCACAGACAAGATAACTGGCATGCCCACAGCCATGTCCAGGAGAAAGAACAAGGCCTGGGGAAGTAGGGGCTCTGACAACTTTCCCCATTGTACAGGGGAGCAGGAAAGACTATGCCCAGACCATCTAAGGGAGTGCTGAGGGGGCAGAGTGTCCATGTGGAATCTTCTGAGACAGGAGCAGAAGTCCAGCCTGCAAACACACTAAGCTGTGGCTGGAAAACCAACCCTGGGTTTAGCTCGGTCACCTGGGACTCACAGTGGCCAAAGCCCTTCTGGCCCATGCCCCAGGCAGGGCCACCACAGTCTAGGTGCCCAGCAGGCAGCACCTGCCACAGACAAGCATGTGCAGAAGGCCACATGGACCGGATGAGTGTTGTGTCTTTGGGGATGAATGCAGGGTGTGAGGTTCAGCTCCTGGGGATGGCTAAGCTCCAGTCCTGGGCAGCAGCAAGCCTGCAGTTCCTGGGGTCCAGGAAGCAGTGGCCCCAGGATTAAGGTCCTCAGCAAGGCACAATCTCAATCTCAATCAGGTCTGCCTACTACCCTGCTATACAGTCTCATACAAGTAGCCTGGTAAATAGTGACACCCAGCCATGATCATGTCGACACACAGCTTCACCATCGCATGGGTCACATGAAGCTACAAAGGTAAATTTTATCCAGACTTCCCAAGGGCACTGGCCCGGGTCACAGGTGGTTCATTTCCCTACAGCCCCCAGAGGCTCAGCCAGCTTGAATTTGCCAAGGCCCCAAAGCCCCTTTCTCAGGTGGTTAGGATAGATAATCCACTCCAACCACTCATTGTAAACCTCCCCTACTTCCAGTTCTGGAGAAAACTCCATCAAACTACATGCTCTCAGGCCTCCTGTACCTGGCCACCCAGCCTCTGCCTGACACCTGGGGCTGGGGCGTCTTTCCTCCCTGGACTTCCCACTAGAGCAACCTCCACTAGCCCACCTTGCAGACCCTCCCCTCTGCCAAGACAAAGCACAGATGTGCCCATACCAGGGACGGAGCGAACAGGAACACAGGGACCATGTGGGTGAATGGAGTGTTTCACCAGAAAACACACTGCCGCCTCAGTTTCTCACCCTGTGCGACCCTTCTGGTTCTAGCCTCCTAGAAGCCTCAGCTTCTTGCCCTTCGTTCTTTCCCCTGGGAAAAATCCACATCAGCAACCCGCCCCGTGACCTACCTCTCAACCAAGCAACAGGACGAAGACGGAAACCCCGCTCAGGCTTTAGTTGCAGGGAAAGCAAGGAGAGTTAAGATGTTCATTCCTCTAACCACACCTTCCTAACCATGCAGATTAGAGACCCGTACCCTCCTACCACAGGCGCTCTGAGGAGGAATATCTGAAGGCTCACTTACTGCGAAGCAGGGGACAGCGGCATCCTGGGCACCACGGCGGGCAAGGGGGCAAGTCAGCCAGCACACCCAGCACTTGCGATGTTTATGGAACAAGGAACTTTTCCCTCTGCACCTGAAACTTACAACTGGTACTGCTATGCAGTTGTTTAAAATGAAAGCATTCACTTGGGGAAAAAATACTGAAAATATATTTTATCTATTAAAATGTTTTTTTTAACACCAAAACAAAATCAGTTCCAACTGAAAAAAAAGTATTCTTTCAAATTATTGGAGAGGTACAGCAAGGTGGCAAGTGGAAAAATAAGCATCTTTTCTACTAGCCTTTCCATGATAGTCACTAGGTTGTTGAAAAGGTAATACAAGAAATGGTAACCCGCGGCTTTTCTCTGAGGGCATTTAGTAAGGCCACCCTCCCCACTCTGCAGGCCAGGGCCCGCCCTTCTGATTCTGCACATACCCGTGCCTTCAGCAGCCCTGGGAGGCCACGTGCTGGTAGGGCCTGGAACTGAAGTGGTATGGACATACAGTGAGGAGGTTGATGCATGCTTTTTAAACATACATCTGTGCGCACACTTGCATGCATACATACACACACATACAAGTACATAGGTTTTGATGAGCAACATTTGTTCCCCACCCAAGCAGTCAGTAAGGGGACTCCACATCACATGCCTGAGACCTTGCGCACATTTCTCTCTGGGAGCTCTAAGGCGCACAGGGTGTGGCCAGGCCTGCTCTGCAACTGCACCATCTGGGGCTCCAGACTTCCCCTTCCCAGAGACTTCCAGACAGGAGCTGGAGAGCTTCAAACTTCAACTTCTCCCTCCTGCAAACCCCAAAAGATTCAAGCTCTACCCTGAGAAGAAAGGTGGAGGGCAAATCTGAGAAGAACCAAAAGAAGGTGGTGCTGTAGTGACCGGTGCGTCAGAGGCCTAGACCCCAGCCTCATCCTTAGTAAGAGGCAGCGGCTGGAACAGATGGCCACTGAGGGCCCTTCCAGGCAGGGCCTGTTAGGAGTCTACGTTTCTAGAAGTTTCTAGACACTGAAGACAGCTCCAATAATGCTCTCAGCTATAGGAAAACGATGCAGTATCCTGAAGAGGCTACTCAAGGAGGACAGCACACACTGGGACACAGAAGGTCTGTGGAAATGCCAGTCATGTGACTTTATAGTGACAGTTCATATATACACAGGAATGCCAGCCCACCTGAGATTCCCAGAAATCATCTCATAATCCCTATTTCTCAATGAGCCCAGATGGGCAGAAGCACCAAGCACCACCAGGGATGCAAAAGACACATGGTGTCAGCTGCTAAGGACAAGAAACCCCGCAGGTCCATGGGACTCAATCTACCAGCTGCATCCAGCTAGATAACCTTGTTTCCACAGCATGGAGGCGGATCAGCCTTATTTCTCACCTGGCCTCAAGATGGGTTGCTAGGGCCTGACATCAGCCTCATTGAGGACCATGGGCCCTGAGGGAAACACTCTGAACCCCCATCATAGCATATCTCACAGGTTGGGGCCCCAAGGGAAACGGGCTGTGAGCTGTGGGCGGAGAGGGGAGGAAAGTGCCATCTGTGTCCCTCCATCTTCTCCACTGGACTCATCCACCTCCAGAGCCTGCGCCGTGGATGTACAGGGCCCAACCAGCTTTCTTGGGATGTGCCCCAGGCATAATCATTTGGGCAACCTCTCAATGTAGAAAATCCATGGGATTTGTTGTCAGGAGACCCAGCACTGAGGCTGGGCTCTGTCCCCTGGCAGCTCAGAGGACCCGAACACCTGTGCTGCAGTTCCATCCCCCAGCGTTTGGGCTAATGGCTCTGGCCCACGAGATCCCTCTGGAGGACCCAGCCAGTCAGCCAGCCAGCCTGTCTCTGTGAAGCCTGGCTCAGCCAAGCACACAGTGTGAACCGCATGGTCTTCTCCCATGTGGGTGGAGGCAACATGCTCCCCTAACTTGGTTGGGGACTGGTGTTGGACACAGGAGGGAAGGTAGGGGACAGCAACAAAGACCATCTCATTCTGGATCTGCTGAGGAGCTGTGCTGTTTCTTGGAAAAGAGGGTAAATTTCCCTCTGCAAACCCGATTTAAACCAGCACCCTGCTTGAAGGAGTCAGAAGGCCTACCCATCTCAAAAGGTATTCCCCTCTCTCCTCTACCATTTGCAACGCTGGCCACTTACCCACCTGAACAAGGACAGCCTTCTCATGTCAGGTGGGGCTGCCAGATTTGGCTCAGAAGCCCTCAGGGGTGGGTGGGTCACTCAGGAGGCTGGATGACAAAGACACAGAGAAGCGGGTCCCTTGGGACATGAACCACGAAGGGGCCCGGCACCATACCAAACCACCTTAGTGCTTTGCCATCAAGAGAAACCCTGAGAACACTCAGTTCTTGCGCAGACATAATTGGAGGCCAAGAAGCTCTGAGTTGCAGGTCACACAACTCGCTGAGCGCTACTTGGCCCCAGCCACACTGCTGGAGCGCAGAAGGTACTGGTCAGCGCTTCCTTTGCGCCGGCTCATGGTCCGTCGCTCACTGTCGAACACGCGCTGCAGGTGCAAGGCCAGCTGGTGGTCCTCCTCCACCTGCCGCGCCTTCTGCTCCATTGAGGACCGCAGCATGGGCTCTGTGGGCTCTGTAGGGGCAGGGCTCACCTCACCCCCTGCCGCCACTGTCATTGTGGTGGGTCTCAATTTCTTCAGGGAGCCATTGTGCTCCAGATGTTTGGTCTTGCAGTGTCGCTTTCGGCCCCGACGCGAGGGAGGCAGTGGCTCCTCGCCCAGGCCTTCTGTTAAGATGCCGTTAGCCAGGTCAGAGGGCTTCAGAGGCTTCAGCTGCTTCTTGGGTCTGAGGGCTGCGCCCACAAGACTGTGTTTTGGGAGCACTGAGTTCACCCCTGAGACTCTCAGGGCCGTGCTTACACCCATCATGTCTGCTTTGGCTTCGGGGGTGGTCCTGGACCCCTCACACCACTTCTTGTCCAGCACATTCCCACCAGCCCCTGCTCTGAGTTCTGAGCAACAGGAGGTTTCCACAGGGCTCCTTTGTCCTGCACCATCCTGCTCTGCTTTTGTTTGGCCAATGTGAGGGACAAGGCTAGGACACTCGGCTGATGCTCGCTCTGCAGACAGGGCGGGCTCTGCTGCCAGCTGATGCAGCTCCCTGCCAGGATGGTTAACTTCCAACCCTGGTGAGTCTTCCGCTGTTTCAGGAGCCAGGGAGGTGAGGGTGGCTTTCGAAAGGGTCTTTTTGATCTGCCGCTCCTGGAAGATCTGCTCCCACTTCCTGAGGACGCGTGGGCTGGCCTCGTAGGAGGTCTGCTTCTGCA